CCACGCACACGCAGACACGCACATGCACACGCAGACACGCACCCACGCACACGCAGACACGCACCCACGCACACGCAGACACGCACATGCACACGCAGACACGCCACATGCACACGCAGACACGCACCCACGCACACGCAGACACGCACCCACGCACACGCAGACACGCACCCACGCACACGCAGACACGCACCACGGACACGCAGACACGCACACGCAGACACGCAGCCACGCACACGCAGACACGCACCCACGCACACGCAGACACGCACCCACGCACACGCAGACACGCACCCACGCCACGCAGACACGCACCCACGCACACGCAGACACGCACCCACGCACACGCAGACACGCACCCACGCACACGCAGACACGCACCCACGCACACGCAGACACGCACCCACTGCACACGCAGACACGCACCCCGCACACGCAGACACGCACCCACGCACACGCAGACACGCACCCACGCACACGCAGACACGCACCACGCACACGCAGACACGCACACGCACACGCAGACACGCACCCACGCACACGCAGACACGCACCCACGCACACGCAGACACGCACCACGCACACGCAGACACGCCCCACGCACACGCAGACACGCACCACGCACACGCAGACACGCACCCACGCACACGCAGACACGCACCCACGCACACGCAGACACGCACCCACGCACACGCAGACACGCACCAACAGACACGCACCCACGCACACGCAGACACGCACCCACGCACACGCAGACACGCACCCACGCACCGCAGACACGCACCCACGCACACGCAGACACGCACCCACGCACACGCAGACACGCACCCACGCACACGCAGACACGCACCTGCACCACGCAGACACGCCAGCACACGCAGACACCCACGCACACGCAGACACGCACCCACGCACACGCAGACACGCACCCACGCACACGCAGACACGCACCCACGCACACGCAGACACGCACACGCAGACACGCACCCACGCACACGCAGACACGCACCCACGCACACGCAAGACACGCACCCACGCACACGCAGACACGCACCCACGCACACGCAGACACGCACCCACGCAGACACGCAGCCACGCACCCGCAGACACCGCACCACGCACAGGCAGACACGCACCCACGCACACGCAGACACGCACATGCACACGAGGACACGCACCCACGCACACGCAACACGCACCCACGCACACGCAGACACGCACCCACGCACACGCAGACACGCACCCACGCACACGCAGACACGCACCCACGCAGACACGCACCCACGCACACGCAGACACGCACCCACGCACACGCAGACACGCACCCACGCACACGCAGACACGCACCCACGCACACGCAGACACGCACCCACGCACACGCAGACACGCACCCACGCACACGCAGACACGCACCCACGCACACGCAGACACGCACCCACGCACACGCAGACACGCACCCACGCACACGCAGACACGCACCCACGCACACGCAGACACGCACCCACGCACACGCAGACACGCACCCACGCACACGCAGACACGCACCCACGCACACGCAGACACGCACCCACGCACACGCAGACACGCACCCACGCACACGCAGACACGCACCCACGCAGACACGCACCCACGCACACGCAGACACGCACCCACGCACACGCAGACACGCACCCACGCACACGCAGACACGCACCCACGCACACGCAGACACGCACCCACGCACACGCAGACACGCACCCACGCACACGCAGACACGCACCCACGCACACGCAGACACGCACCACGCACACGCAGACACGCACCCACGCACACGCAGACACGCACCCACGCACACGCAGACACGCACCCACGCACACGCAGACACGCACCCACGCACACGCAGACACGCACCCACGCACACGCAGACACGCACCCACGCACACGCAGACACGCACCCACGCACACGCAGACACGCCCCACGCACACGCAGACACGCACCCACGCACACGCAGACACGCACCCACGCACACGCAGACACGCACCCACGCACACGCAGACACGCACCCACGCACACGCAGACACGCACCCACGCACACGCAGACACGCACCCACGCACACGCAGACACGCACCCACGCACACGCAGACACGCACCCACGCACACGCAGACACGCACCCACGCACAACGCAGACACGCACCACGCACACGCAGACACGCACCCACGCACACGCAGACACGCACCCACGCACACGCAGACACGCACCCACGCACACGCAGACACGCACCCACGCACACGCAGACACGCACCCACGCACACGCAGACACGCACCCACGCACACGCAGACACGCACCCACGCACACGCAGACACGCACCCACGCACACGCAGACACGCACCCACGCACACGCAGACACGCACCCACGCACACGCAGACACGCACCCACGCACACGCAGACACGCACCCACGCACACGCAGACACGCACCCACGCACACGCAGACACGCACCCACGCACACGCAGACACGCACCCACGCACACGCAGACACGCACCCACGCACACGCAGACACGCACCACGCACACGCAGACACGCACCCACGCACACGCAGACACGCACCCACGCACACGCAGACACGCACCCACGCACACGCAGACACGCACCCACGCACACGCAGACACGCACCCACGCACACGCAGACACGCACCCACGCACACGCAGACACGCACCCACGCACACGCAGACACGCACCCACGCACACGCAGACACGCACACGCAGACACGCACCCACGCACACGCAGACACGCACCCACGCACACGCAGACACGCACCCACGCACACGCAGACACGCACCCACGCACACGCAGACACGCACCCACGCACACGCAGACACGCACCCACGCACACGCAGACACGCACCCACGCACACGCAGACACGCACATGCACACGCAGACACGCACCCACGCACACGCAAACACGCACCCACGCACACGCAGACACGCACCCACGCACACGCAGACACGCACCCACGCACACGCAGACACACACCCACGCAGACACGCACCCACGCACACGCAGACACGCACCCACGCACACGCAGACACGCACCCACGCACACGCAGACACGCACCCACGCACACGCAGACACGCACCCACGCACACGCAGACACGCACCCACGCACACGCAGACACGCACCCACGCACACGCAGACACGCACCCACGCACACGCAGACACGCACCCACGCACACGCAGACACGCACCCACGCACACGCAGACACGCACCCACGCACACGCAGACACGCACCCACGCACACGCAGACACGCACCCACGCACACGCAGACACGCACCCACGCACACGCAGACACGCACCCACGCACACGCAGACACGCACCCACGCACACGCAGACACGCACCCACGCACACGCAGACACGCACCCACGCACACGCAGACACGCACCCACGCACACGCAGACACGCACCCACGCACACGCAGACACGCTAAGCCCGCGCTCCGATATCCCTTTGTCTGTTTTCATGAAATGCCTCTTGGTTGTGCTCAATGTACGAATGTTTCATTTTTTCACCCTGTTTTTTTCAGGTATTTAATTGTGTGTTGCATGCGTTTGTGGGGAGCGGTAGGGTAGAGTTAGCATACTCTTTGGGTCTTTCGGTAAAGTCACGTAGGTAGAAAAATAATAGATCACGACGTTTGGATCGCAGCACAGGCAATCGTCTTCAGGTGAGAGTTAGCAAACTTCGCTCTGAAGCCGGCCACCTCAGGTTCGATTCCTGCTCTTGACCAATAACAGTGGTGAATGTTTAAACTGGTCCTGGGCCTCTTCTAGGTCGACTAAGAATTAAATGACGACAGTATCTGCTGTGGCCTGTAAATATTATCACGAGGAGACAAAGGCGTCCGGGCCTGCTGTTGGTCACCCGTCCCCTCGTGTGCCTTGCTGGACTTCATAGGCGCTTGCTGACAGCGCTTGCCCCAACAGCAATGCCAATGTTGAGGTCTGCCAGCCACGACAGGGCTTCAGGAGAGAGTTTTTTTCTTCTTGGTTCTTTCGGTAAAGTCACGTAGAAGGGAAATAATAAAATAATAAAAATAAAACATTATAAAATAATTTTTACGACGTTTCGGCCACAACGCAAGCAGCCGTCCTCAGGTGAAGAACAGGTCTGTCGGAAAGACAGCGTCTGAATGTCTTTCTGACAGACCTGTTCTTCACCTGAAGACGGCTGCTTGCGTTGTGGCCGAAACGTCGTAAGAATTATTTTATTATGTTTTACCGTTATTATTTTATTTTTTCCCTTCTACGTGACTTTCCTGAAAGAACCAAAACGATTAATCCCTGCAGTCACGAAAGCTTTAAATCGAAAAAGAGAGAGTTTTTGTTTACTTTTTCCATTCTTCCATTGAAGGAGCCTTTCACAGCATTAAGTAAGGGGGCTGTACTTGGCGTGGAAATTAGTGCATTGCGCAATCAACCCAGCAAGCTGAATTCGATTCCCAGTGGCAGGCTATATCTGAACTGGTCTTGGTCCTCCCCTAGGTTGACTCAGCCTTAAATGAGCGCCTGGTGCTGTAGGTGAACTTCAGCACTCTGGAGACAAAGGCGGCCGGGCGTGGTGCCGTCTATCCCACACCCTCTGCCGTGACGATGTCACGTGCCAGATGCGCGCGCCCCTCCTTCAGCCAGCAACGGGGAAACATTTTCACCAGGGAATAATCATGGTCACGACTCCCATCTAAACGTTTATAGTGTCTCCTCCGTGGATCTCTCTCTCTCTCATCCAGACGCCAGAGAGTAATTCCTGCAGTCACGAAAGCTCCAAATAAAGTTTTATCCCACACCCCTTCGCGTCCCACAGTGCCCGCCCTTCGTAGGTGCTAGTCGCTAACAACGCTTGCCACAACGGTCTGTTGAAGGCGATACGGGGGGCGGGGGGGGAGCTTTTGTCTCTTTGTGCTTGTGTGTGTGTGTGCGTGACTCCATGTGTCTGGTTTGTGTCCGTCTAGCGGAGTCGCGGCACCTCGGAGCGAGTCCCGGAAGGAGGGAGGGCGACATGAAGGGCCCCATGGAAAACGGTAAATTGGTTTGCCCGTTTGAATAAGCGTAACAAACCCTTGTTAGTTGCCCTCGCCCCCCGCACCTACGATTGGTACAGTGCGAAAGACGTTCGCCGCACGTGTACGTACAAGGGATGCTGCGGCGGCGTAAACGCGAGAACACCGGACTCGCAATCCGGAGGTCCGCCCAGCAGCGGCGTAGACCTGCACGCCACAGTTAGTCGAGCGGCGGGGCAAAGTGTGGGTGCTCCCGCCTCCTTTCAAGACGTCCAGCCGTCGTGGAGGAGTAGGCCAAAATACCCTCCTGAGCTCACTCGCTCGCGTGGAAGTTCTTCCGCCAGCAGGGGCACGTCGCAAAAAAGTGTGCGGGGCTGCACCTTTACCTTTGCATTTATCGCAGTTGTGTGCCAAGACGATATCACGTGCCAGATGCGCGCCCCCCTCCTTCAACCGGCAACGGGGAAACATTTTCACCAGAGAATAATCATGGTCACGACTCCCATCTAGACGTTTATGGTGTCTCCTCCGTGGATCTCTCTCTCTCACCCAGATGCCAGACAGCGACTCCTTGCTGTGCGACTGCCACCTTATTCTAAGGCCATCAAAAGTTGTCGGCCCAAATTCGCCGAGGATTAAATTTCACGCTGTCTCGTATTTGTTTTGTGCCGTCAATGGTGACCAGGCTGAGATCATTAAACTCGCCACAGTTGAGAACCCAGTTTAATCACGGGCGTCCGAAGCCCACTTTCAAAACCCAGGAGCTTGGCGGCCTTGGCCCAGTGTATCTGACGCAGCCATTACCATCCACCTAGCCATGCTGTCGACTCTGATGCATCGCTGTAATATACTTACAGTCGCTTAAACCTTTTAGTTTCATAACCGAGTGAATAAGTCACGGTGGCAAGCCTGTTTTGGACAGCAGCTTGTTAGCAAATGGTTTCACAAACGTTTGCAAACATGAACACGCGTACATTGCATAAAAACACGATGTGCTTGGAATCGCTCGTGATATCAGGAGTTGAGGGGCGGGTGTTTTGACGCACTGCACTGTGAGCCAGGCAACCTGAGTTCAGTTCCTAATCTCACGGCTCACATCAGTGGCGAGTAATTGGGATCCTAGGATGGAGGAGTGCGCATTATAAATAATTATTATATCTGAACCATTCATGGTCCCGCCATTCTCCCCACTTCCACCAACCTGCACTGACCAGCGTGGTGAGGTCTGGTCCAACCACCGTCATGACGGACATGGGATGGGGAAGCTTTCAGCTTTCTATCATTATTATCTGGAATGGCCCAATACAGGTTTTTTTTTTTTAAAGAGGCTTTGATAAATCATTGACGAAGCGAATTCTGTAAGTCAGGATCAGAATCTTTATTTAGACTGTAAGAATCCGATGAGCTATGAAGCTCTTTGTAGGCGCTGGTCAGAAAGTCACAACAACAAACAGAACAAAAAAACACAATTTGAGTGCAAAGTATACGAAAGCTAAGCGAGTCACTAAATATAAAAAAATATATATAAAGTGGCTCAGGAAGTTAATGTTTATGCCGCAGCTCTGAAAACCAACGCAGTTGAATTCCTGGGTGCCAGCAAGCGTTGCCACCTGTGAGCTTACACACAGAAACGGGGCACATAGTGAGAAGGAGACAAATCATCGCACGTGATGCATTTATTGTTATTGCTAGTATTATGATTGTGAACGACGCAAATTATGAAATCCACGAAAGGACGAAAAATATTCCCAGGACAGTAGCAACCTCTTATAACGATCCTGGGAAAACAGGTGGCAACGCTGCCCGCCCGCCCACCTTAGTCAATCCTCGAGTTGAAGAGGGTATTACATTTGCATGGCAAATAATGGTTTAGGGCCCCAGCCATCAACAATAGCACAAAGAAACTCATTGTATTGAGACAATGACCTTGGTTTCACACTCACTGTGGGCAAGCCCATCTTTGAGAGCTTAATAAGCACGGAGCAAAACACACAGCTCAAGCTCAGCTGTGTGGTTTAGCATTTGGACAACCGGTTAGGGGTGTAATCCGTTCATCACAAACGTACAATTTAATCAATTGTCTTTTAAGGGGGAAGGCGCAATGTAAAGATGTAAAAATAAACTGTAGCTATTATTTCAAAGGTTGCCGGTTCAATGCCATCTCTTGGCAGGGCAGGCAACAGAATGTTTTTTTAATTACCCCCTCCGCCCCATCCCCAACCCAAAAAAATTTAATTGGTGGAGGAAAGTGTGGGTAGCTCCCTGCTTTTCCACGCCATGTGGCCAGTGTGAACTAGTGGGTTGAGTGATCCTTTGGGAGGGCTGTCTAGAGCTCCTTCCAGCGGGGGGCCCTTCCTGCAAGCAGTGGCGTGAGCGAGCAATTTCAGGGCTGCGCCTTCACTAAACCGCCCACAGTGCGCACACTGTCATGAAATCTCAGAAGCTAAGCAGGTTTCAGCCTGGATATTGCTATAAATGCTTTAAAATGTGTTAGAGCTTGCTGCAGCTGCTGCTCCCTCGGAGCTGCATTGTCAGCATTGAGCCGGGCAGAACAATCACTGGCTGAGCTCCGCCTCTCTTACGCTTCCCATCTTCACCAACCCGCTCTGACCAGCGCGGTGAAGTACGGTCAAATAACCACCCCCCCTCCCCCCCCTCCGTGACTCGCGCGGATGTGGGGAGGCCTTCATCCAGCAGTGGATGGACACGGGGCGTCTCTGCGCGTGTAACGCCGCATTCCTTTAATCGACGTGTCGTAAAAAAAAGTTGAGAAATGGGGGGGGGGGGGAGGGAGGGGCAGAGAGGCAGGGATTTTTTTAATTTCTTGGCCGAGATCTAACGCCAGCTGTGTCGGATTTTCAGGGCACCTGGGCCTCAGCGATCTCTTCACGACATCTGGGGTCTTTGACGTCATGGAGCTCGTTCAAGTCTCCAAGAGTGAGTGTGTCGGTGGTGGTGGCCGAGCCGTCCGTGTGCTGCTGCAGCCCCCCTTGCCGCCGCCGCCGCCAGCGACCCCCGCCCTCCTGCCCGCCCGCCCGCCCTCCTGCCCCCACCGCTGCGTTAAAAATTAATAACGGCAAAGACAAAGGGGGGTGTGCGACAATGGCGCGTAGTCATGGGGTCTCCACGGCCGACTGTGCAAAGTGTACGGGTGTAAGCCTTTAATTATAGCGCGTGCGTGCGTGCGCGCGCATACATCACGGGGAGCGGGGAGCGCGCCAGGCGACGGCGGACGAACGCCGCGACCCCGAGTTCCCGTTGCCGGCCACGGCTGACGACGTCAGGTGGCGGAGCGACGTCAAAAGCGATCCCCGTCCCTACACTAGGTCGGCTCGGCCTCAGTTGCGCTGCGAAGAAGCGTCGGGGAGACGAGAGATGCTCACTCGCCCACGGGACTGGCCCCCCACAGCGGTCTCGAGAGAGGCGGCCGTACACGGGCGACGTTTTGTCCTTCCCGCGTGTCCGTGTGCGCGCACGTTCGTACAAGTTCGTGCCACAGTGCCCGTACATGTCAGCGTACGCTCCGGACCCAATGGCATGAGTTCGATTCCCGCTCACGGCCAACACCAGTTATGATTGTCTGAACCGGTCCTGGGTCTTCCCTAGGTCCACTCGGCCTCAAATGAGCACCTGGTGCGGTGTGTAAACATCGCAGCCGGGCGTGGTGCTGGCCACCCACCCCTTCGTGCGCCGGCCTTCGTAGGTGCTTCTCGCTATCAGCACTTGCCCCAACAGTCAATTATGGCTACACGGGGGAGCTTTGTCTTTGTATCGTGAGAGCCGTTGCACAGTGGTTAATTCACTGCATTATGATCCCATCATCGCGAGTTTCAACTCCCAGTCGCGTAAAAATATCAGCGGTTGTCACGTGCTGTCTGCGATGGTTCCGCACCTTACCTGTGTCGACAACGTGCCCTTTACGAGTACCCGGTGCAGTGTTTGTGTGTGAGCACCAACACCGCCAGACGTAGACACGAGCCACGCACACCCACCGTGCGCCGCCATGCTGACCGTGACAGCTGCTTGCTGCCGGCGCTCGCCCCTAGCGCCGACGGAGACCAACGAGGGGTCTCTCTGGACGTGCGCACGTGTTTCTGCGTCTTTTCGCATCTCCATTAAGCCTCTGTGTGTGCGTGTGTGGTTGCAGTGTCCCTGATTTTGTCTCTTGTTGTGTTCTTCTCTTTGTGCCCGTCTTGTCTCTGTTTGACATTTGTGTCTCTTTCTCTGTGTATGTTTCTCTCTTCCTATCCACGTCTGTCCTTGCGCATGTCTGCCTGATTCCATGCGTCTCTCCCCACGCTCTCCACGCAGCTCCCATCGCGTCAGTCGGAGTGACTGGCTTCAGTCTGCCCACAGGCATGGAGGCCCCGTCCTTCCTGGCCTCCATGGCACAGGTCCGGCCAACGCACCTGGGTCCCAGCAGGTGCCTTCTTAACCCCCACACCTCACACCACACCTATACATACACACCACACACACCTACACACACACCTCACACCACACACACCTACACACACCTACACACATACCTACACACCAACACACACCTGCACACACCTCCACATACCAAACACCCACCTCACACCAAACACACACCTACACACACCTACACTCACCTCACACCACACACACACCACACCTATACATACACACCAACACACACCTACACACACCATACCTATACATACACACCTACACACACACCTACATACACCACACCTATACATACACACCACACACACCTACACACACCTACACACACACCTCCACATACCAAACACACACCTACACACACCTACACATACCAACACACACCTACACATACCAACACACACCTACACACACCACAAGTTCGCGTGTGTTCGTGTGTGTGCACGCATTGTGGGGAGGGGCTGTGTAGTGGTTATCGCAATGCGCCACAAACTCGCACACCCGAGTTTGATTTACGATCACAGCCAACATCGGTGATGAATATTTGAACCGGTCCTGCGCTTCCCCTAGGTCGACTCAGCCTTGAATTAATACCTGGCGCAGTGTCTAAATGTCATCACCGGATCGACAAAGCCGGCCGGGCACGGTGCTGGCCACACGACCCAATTGTGTCTCCGTAGCTGCTTGCTAACGGCACTTGCCCCTCATAGTCCGTTAAAGGCTGCACGAGGGAGCCATGACTTTACCTGTGAGGGTGTGTGTGGAGGTGTGTAGCAGTGTGTAGAGGGGAGCGATTCTTTAGCGCTCAGCGCTACGCTGCGCTACGAACCTGGCGACCCGAGTCCGATTCCCGCTCACGGCCAACGCCGGTGACGATTATTTGAACGGGTCCTGGGCCTACCCTAGGTCGACTCAGCCTCAAATGAGTCCCTGGTGCGATGTTTAAACATCGCCACGAAGGAGACAAAGGCGGCCGGGCGTGGTGCTGGCCACCCCTCGCCCCCCACCCCTCGTGTGCCGCGCCGGCCTTCATAGGTGCTGCTCGCTAACGGCACTTGCCCCAACAGTCTGTTAAGGCTACACGGACGGGTTTTTGTCTTTGTATGCAGCGTGATGCAACACAAAGGCTCACCGATGGAGGAGATGGAGAGCCCCGGGGAGGAGTTCTACAGCCAGGAGCGCTCATCCACAGGCAGTGCCCACTCGGGAACGTGGCACAGCGAGGGTTCGTAACGGGAGCAGGATCCTGGGGCCTGAGATCGCGGGATGTCTGAAGGATCCTGGGGTTAGGGTGGTCTTGCGGTGCGAGCTGGGAAACGAACGGCTCGATCCACTTCTGCCAGATGGGAAGGCCGCACTGTCAGTTGGTGGTCTCGGTAAATCGACCCGCGGCATGTTCAGCCCTTTTTGAGCCGTTTGTCTGGACAGGGCTGACTGAGAGGACTCTGCGTCATGCATTGTGGTGGTCGCATGGGCACGCATCCCACGCTGTCGTCCCGCTCTTTGTCAGCGTGTTCTTAAGTTCCGAGCAAAAACTCCCAGTTGTTGTGTGGGGGTCGGCTGCTCGGATCTTGTTCCTCCATGTGCTTATCTTATTAAATATTTTCATATTCATCTTATGTTTAGTCTTATTCTATCATATTTATCTTATTTGATCAGATTCATCTTATTTAATCTTGTTTTATCACGTGCTCATCTTATTCCTCCACGTGCTTCCATTGTGTCTGCCTCTTGCCGAGTCACTCCTCTCGTGTCTCATTCCACCGCATCCTCAGTTCTCCCTCAACTCCTGCTGCCCTGCGCCGGCATCTGCCCGGCCCCTTCTCCATTGCGTGGTTTTGGTTTAAAGAACCACAGCAATGGCTGCGCGAGTAATCGCTTTGATGTCCTCTGCAGAAGCAGGTGAAATCCATTTTGATATCCCGTTGTCTTTCTGGAAAAGTGAGAGCAGCTCTGATGTCCGTGGTGAAGCTGTGATTTGTTGAGCTGTCACTTGTGGTGGGCAGGTCGCTTCTGAAAAATAAGTTGATACCTCAGTGGCTTTGCCTGGTAGGATGGGGATGGTTTAGCGGTTGTATTTGTTTGTGTTTGGGTGATTTGTTTACCTTTCTTGTACTTGGCGCTGCTATCGTGTTTTTGTACTGCTTGTTGTTGTAACGTTCTTACCCCATGCCCCTACTGGACATCTGTTAAAAAGAGCTTTATAGCGCATCGGATTCCTCCAGTCGAAATAAATATTCTGATTCTGATAAAACGCCAGCATCGTCAGTGTTAAGAGTCCATCCAAAAAATCTGGGGCAGTGTTCATCTTACATTTACAGCTTTGAACTAGTGACGGGAATTCCACGTTCTTGTGGCGGGGGCGAGTCTGCCCATAGGATGACCCCTTGTAGACTTCTCACAAAGCATTGCTCGGTTTATTCACCCCAGAGGGGGTGGCGTTGACCCCCTGGCTGGCGTTCGAACTCACAACCTTCCCCTTGCAAGGCGCAGACTCTTAACCACGGCACTACACAGGCACTTGCACACAGAGAAAGAGAGAGACAGCTGTTATTGGTTTTTCATTTGACCCATGGGGAAGTGATGCTGCTGTCAGTGTTGTTTCTGCACTTATCTCTTTACTCGATGGGAGTCTAACTACAAGGTGTAACATTGTGAATGTGGCTCTAAATTACAGCTGTTTACAACTCACTGAGCCTCCTGGAACATCAAATTAATGTTTGCTAAATAGGTTTGAACAAAAACAGCTGTTTTCTGTACACCCCCTCGTGTGCCGTGCCGGCCTTAACATAGGTGCTCGCTAAAAGCACTTGCCCCAACAGTCTGTTAAAGGCTACACGGGGGATCTTTGTTTTTTCTGTCTCTATGTGGACGAAAGTAGTGGCACTGTGATTAGCGCACTGCACCACACCTGGCAATGTGGCACCCCGAGTTCACATCGTGGCCACGGCTTAATGTGAGCGATGAATATCAGAACTGGTCCTGGACCTCCTCGATGTTGACTCAGCCTTAAAACGAGTATCTGTTGCAGTGTGCGAAACAGCATGCTGCCCCAACAAAATTCGAGCTGTGTTCGTGTGTGTATGTGTCCACACGCATGTGTAGGGGGGGGGGGCAGTAGTGTAGTGGTTAGGGTACTGCGCTACGAACCCGGCGACCAGGGTTCGATTCCCGCTCACGGCCAACATCAATGGTGAATATTGAAACTACTCAAATGAGTTCCTGGTGTGGTGTGTGTGAGCATCAGCACTGGGGAGACAAAGACGGCTGGGCATGGTGTGGGCCGCCCACCCGTGCCGTGTCGGCCTTTGCAGGTGCTTGCTACCAGCACTTGCCTCAACACTCTGTTCAGGCTATGGGGTGGGGGGGGGTTCTTCGTACGTGGTGATAATCATGACACGTGTGTGGCTGCAGAAATGGGCTCCCCAAGCATGAAGAAAGCAGAGAAATGCACGTTCAGCCCCACCTCGCCTCAGCAGCCGTCGCTCTTCACCCAGCATCACAGGCCCGTCATCACCGCCCCTCGCGGTGAGCCTCGGTTCAGTCTGTTGCTCCGTCTCCTGAAGTCCCAGCGTGTCCATGACCACGTCACCACAAGTCGTCAATTTAGCAAATATTTGGTAGCGCTGCCGCCGCCGCTGTTGCATTGGCAGTGACTCAACACATTCATCAATAAAATAAGATGTAATGATTCAGGTATTGGCCAGGCAGTGGTGGCTATTCGCACCATACCCTGGCTCGCCAGGAGAAGGCAGTACAGCAAGTGGACTAATCGCCATCTGTTTCCATCTGTATGGGATATGAGTGTTGCTGGGTGCTCCAGATTCCTGAGACTTGTATAAGCGCTAAGCACTAAGAAATGTGCGTTCCGAGTATTTGGCTGCTATACATTTCCACGTGATAAGCAACTTGAGCTATCGTTTGTGGCCAGGTCGCTTCTGAAAAGGGCTACTCAGTAGCTCAGTGTGCTTTACCTGGTAAAATAAATAAATAAATAGCAACCCCTCCTGAAAAAGAGTAATATGACTCATGGTGGCTGTCGTTGATAAATAATTTTTTTAAAAGTTTAAATAAGCAATTCATAGCCGATCACGTAGGGTCAATTCCCAAAATATCACGAGTGAGATTATCACGTGCAGCACGGGACTGTTACCCACAGGGATACGAGGCAGCACACAAGCTCGCTGACCTGTCAAATCATTTTTATTGCAGTCCTTATTTATCTGTGGCTTTTATCTTTCGGTTCTCTGGTTTCCTCCTGCATGTCAGATTCTGTCCTTGCGTATAGGCACATTTATTCAGGGGCTAAATGCCAATGTTGAAGCCTGCTGGTCACGAGACGGCTTGCGTCGTGTTGCTATTCCTCCGTTAAAGGAGCACGGATGACAGTGGTTTACTGTAGGGCCCATGCTTTGGCTTGCATGGCTACAATCCCACGAAATGTGGCCTGTCTTTAATGCCTCTCTGCATCTCTGCGTACCTCTGTGTCTCTTTGGGTTTCCTAAATGGTCCACAGTTTGGTGTGCATAGCCACAATCGCACTGTAGCCTGCCTTTACATTCACGAAGGAGACGTGCGTATCGGCCTGTCAATGTTATGATGCGGTTGGTGGTTACACCGCCCGTGTCTTCGAGGAAGATTGTCAAAGCGAGAGGAGGTGCGTTACTTGGGTCTCGAAGGAGGCGTTTATTCTGGACACGCAAGACGTGTGGTGACTGCTGGCGGGCGTAGCACCCCCATTCACCACCGCACCGGCTCGCTTTGTCTGACCCGCCCTGTGGTCCTCTCGTCGTCATGAGCGCCGCTTCTCCGCCGTACACACACACACACACGCTGTCTCTTACACACACGCACACGCTGTCTCTTACATACACACACACACTGTCTCTTGCACACACACATCGTCTCTTACACACACGCACACATGCTGCCTTTGACACACACTCACACACGCTGCCTTTGACACACACACACACACGCTGTCTCTTACACACATACACACATGTCGTCTCTCTTACACAGGCCGTCTCTGACACACACACGCCCCGCAAACACACGCACACACACACCCCGCACACACACATACACACGCTGTCTCTTACACACACGCCGTCTCTTACACACACACACACACATCGTTTCTCTTACACCCACAGGACGTCTCTGACACACACACGCCCCGCAAACACACGCCCACACACACCCCGCACACACACCCCGCACACACACATACACACGCTGTCTCTTACACACACACCGTCTCTTGCACATACGCCGTATCTTCCGCGCACACACACACAGTCTCTTACGCAAGCACGCGTCCTCTCGTCCGTGCCTCCCTCCCCCCTCCCGACAGCTGGCAGGCAGCACTCCCAGCCCCTCCACCTGGCGCCGCCGGCTCCCATGCAGCAGCAGATGAGCGCCCTCCCACCTGTACCGCCGGGGCCGCCCTACTTCTCGCATCCAGCTATCCGCTACTCCCCGCACGGCGGCGGCAGCGGCTCCCACGCCCCGCACCCCACGCACGACATCCTCAAGGACTTCGGGCAGATGATCTGCGCGGAGGCGAGCGGGCAGCTCATGGGGCAAGGCCCCTACGGTGCCGTACGTAGTCACCGGCTGGGGGGGAGCGCGCGTGCCCGCGCGTGTTGAGATGCGCCCTCGTTTGGCTTAAGGGACAAACGCTCAACCTGTCCACATACATACCTACCTGAGCGGCCTACCTGTCTGCTTACCTGCCTTCTGACCTGCTTAACTAAATACCTACCTGCCTGTTTGCCGACCTACATACCTTCCTGCCTGTTGTCTGCACACTTACGGACATTTCCCACATACGTACAACTTTTAACATTGCCGACAGCCAAATTGGTGTTCGTAACTGCCCCTCCACCCGACAATGCTTTCCCATGTCTCTCTTTAAAAAGGAGTAATAAATCTCGGTGGGCTTTCACTTAGTTACATAATGGCGACCGACCTAATTTGCATATAGATGTACACACAAAACCAGACTGAGCAGAACTGCAAAATGGCTTCTGTTTATCTTTCAGGCGAGCGGAGGTCTGGAGTTGCAAGGGCTAGGCCGCGTTTCCCCGGGCTCTCCCCATGGGCACAGCCCCACGGGGGGAGGGGCCGGTCACCATGGCTACCTGCCCCCCCATTCTGCCCTGCTGCCACCAATGCCCCCACCGGCAGGAGCCATGCCCCGGCCCGTGCCCCTCAATATCTCTGGGCCCCCCGGAGTCGGCGGAGGAGGAGGAGGTGGCGGCGGCGGTGGCGGCGGCGGCGGCGGCGGTGGTGAGGGAGAAGATGGGGCAGCACAAAGCCCGGCTCGGTCAACGCATCAGGGGCACGGAGAGACAGGCCTCGGGTCGCCAACGTCTCCCTCGGGTGAGCGCTGGGGACATCGGCAGGCAGGGATTTCATCATCAGAATCGTTATTGAGACTGCAGCAGGAATCTGAAGAGCTATGAAGCTCTTTTCACAGATGTCCAGTAGGGGCACGGAGTCAGAACGGTACAACAACAAGCAGTACAAAAACACGAGGGCAGATTATAGGAAAGGTTAACAAACCACTTTAAAGAATATACAAATAAAACTAAACTATTTTTATCTTACCAGGTAGAACCCACTTGGCTATTAGCTTATTTTTCAGAAGCGTCCTGGCCACAAATGTTCGCTCAACGAAGTGGCTTATCATGTTGGAAATGTATCGCAGCAAAATAATCTCAATGATCTAAATGCATGTTTCTAAAATGTTGAATTGGATGTTTGAACGGAAGAAAGATGCCAGCGTGAGATCTGGAAACTCCTCCTCCGCGAGCCAGTCTCATTTCCTGAGCAATAAGCATTTTTATTTTGCGAGAGAAATCTGTTAAAATTCCATCCACTCGGTTTTTATTTTTTAATAAGATTATATCTCCCTCATGAGTTATGGTTCAATCTCTCACCCGAAGGGATAGCATTGTGTATTGCCAATCATTAACCTCCTGTTTGCTGCTATCATGCAAACCATTGCTTTTATGATATCAGCAATATATTTTTACGCTGTTTTTTATTCCAAGTCTTTTTTTTTCCTCACGAATCGAGTTATGCTAAACAGTACTCATCTTGTGAAAATCGTTCCATACAGGGCTTAGAGAATATTAGTAACAGCTGCTGCTGCGGCCACACAGAAGCACACACGGCGTCCACCTAAAACACTTTGCGTTTTTTTCCCCATCGCGTTTCAAAAGCGGGGGGGGGGGGGGGGAGCGGCAGTCTTCTTAGGTCCGACCTGCTCCGACCGCCACGTTCAACGCTTTTTTGGTGACCAATCGCAGGCAGGCAGTCACAAGTAGCACGTGACCAGACACACGCTCTCCAGTCACGTGGCTGTGAGAGGTGACATGGCTTCGTTGGAGCCACCTTGATGTCAGCCACAGAACACGTGCGATGGATGAGCAAAAGAATAATCTGCCATCGGTGAAGCGCCTACTTTTTGGCAAATGAAATTATAATTTAAAATAATTAAAACTACCCTAAAATAGTAGATAAGCAGACAACATGTCTCCCTCATATATGTCTCTTCACGTGTAAAATAATAGATTTTTTTTTTTTTTTGCTTTGGCCATGTAATGATCTGCCAAAATGTATGTCACAAGACCATCCCACTATCTGACACAGCCAAACAAATTAAATTGTCTCACGTGTGTGTATTTGACGTGCTATTCATTATTGTTTCAGCTCGGTTAAATTAGAAGAACAATTCTCACAACCGAATTTAGCCATTTGATATGTTTTGCATGCAACTGCGTCAAGCATCTTCAGGACAAGATCCAGGAAATCGGAATAGAATCCAAATAATATTGGCTGGGAAAATCTATTTGTCTCGTTCATAAAGCTTCAGTGTTTTCAGACAGCACGGTGCACGCAGCTTATGTACGTAACAGGATGGTTGGGGGGTGGGGTACACAGCCTAGGTATGTATTTGCAAGATACTAGATGAATATTCTTGGGTCGCGTTTTCCTCTTTGCTCAATGAATGAAGGTAGCAATTTGTATATCTGGGCATGACGGCACATGCCTGTAAGTCAACACTTGGGAGGTGGAGTTGGCGGATCGTGCAAATTCGCCATGGAGACATTCGGGACCTACTGGGCCATGAGGTGGCCTGGAGATGTCAGATGCTAAGTCGGTTCGTGACCAGTCGATGTAGAGCTTAGCGTTACTGCGTCATGTGTGTGGTTGTATTCTGGGTTACCGTCGTATGCTCCCGCATGCAAAGCGCTCCTTGCAAAGTAATGGGAAAAACATATAAATGGAAAACGCCGCCTGAAAAAAGATATTGGATCTGTGGCTTTGTTTCAGACAAACAAATGGTTTGGCCAAATAACGGGGTTGTGTCAGGCCTAAGTGTTACCCATTCAAGTGGGCGTCACTCACATCATGCAAAGCAATTCCGTATTCTTACTGATGGTGAAAATATGAACCACGAGGGTGTGAGGTTGATGATGTTATTTTTAATTGATGGTCATTATTCTGATTAATTATTGAAAACGAATATGTTATCTGGCTGGGTTTTGCTGTCGATAGATCGCTTGGGGTGCGGTGGGCAAGGGTACGTGTTCAAGTCCTGCCTGCGGCACGCTCGGCCCATCTGTCTAGGCTGGACAATCGATAGTCAATACAAAAGTGATAAGTCAGCAGTGTTTTGTCCTCAGTTATAATAAGACATAATAATGTTCGGCTCTTTTTTAATCCACTGCGAGATGAAGGCCTCCCCACATCAGGGGGGTTCTACCATACTTCACCATCCTGGTCAGAGCTGGTTGGTAAAGAGAGGGAGCTAATGTCCGTGGATCTGACCTATCCACGGACATTATCCATAGTCTGGAATTTAACTCGGGTGGCATGGGTACATGGTGAAGTACGTGAACCACTGCGCCACCACTCAACCGCCCCCCCCACACCCCCAGCCATATATGAATGTGGAATTTCAGCCACTGGCTTAAAACCACCAATGCAGATTAGCACTGCTCAGTGCTGTCTTGAGTTCACTGAGTTATTTAGCTTTTTTAATTGTTCAGGGTGATACCGGTGGTGGTTATGTTCATGTTTTTAGGGATGAAAATTCTGATAAGGATGATAATACTAATGATAGTCACATTGCTAGTGTTTTTTAAGATTGCGATACTCTTTAATGATAGCGACCTTGATTTTTTTTAATACTGGTGTTACCAATGTTCGTGGTGATTGCGTTTTATAAATGTTGAACTTCTTTCGCACCGTACGTAGCCAGCCATGCTAATCGAACAGATGGGGGAAGGACAGCTAAACACAAATCCGTTCTGAAGAAACGAGTTTTCAACTTAGACTTAAAAGGGCATAGCTCCAGTGGATTCTTAATATTGGAAGAGCGTTCCAGACGGCCGCAGAAGCGCGTCTGAAAGCGCACGATGCAGTGACTCTCTTTGTTCGATGGTTAGCCAAAAGTCGCTGCGAGGATGACCGTAGTTTGCGTGATGGCGGAGATGTTACTAACGACGATGATGTGTTCACGCTGCAGGTTCCAGGGACCCGGGTAGTCCTCCTTCAAGTCGCTCCTTCGTCAACCTGGGGACAGGCCGTGAACCAACGTACATCAATCTGCAGCCGCAAACGCAGGTACAGTCATCAGACGACAATGCGTCTGTGCTTGCACGTGCGTCCATGTGTCCGTGTGTCTTGTGTTTTCGAGCGGCGGTGTAGCGGTTAGCACAGCGCTACGAACCTGGCGGCCCGAGTTCGATTTCCGCTCATGGCCAACATCGGTGATGAATATCAGAACCGGTCCTGGGCCTCCCCTAGGTCGACTCGGCCTCAAATGAGCACCTGGTGCGGTGTGTAGTAAACATCGCCATTAAGGGAGCCAGAGGTGGCCGGGCGTGGTGCTGGCCACCCACCCCCTCATGTGCCGTGTCGGCCTTCATAGGTGCTTGCTAGCAGCACTTGCCTCAACAGTCTTAAGGCTATACGGGGAGGGTCTGTCTTTGTTTTTAAGCAGTGGTGTGGTAGCGATTAGTGCACTGCGCTACAAGCTTAGAGACATGAGTTAGATTCCTGCTAACGGCCAACTCCAGTGACGATTATCTGGAAGGGTCCTGGGCCTCTGTTAGGTCGACTCAGCCTCAAATGACTACCTGGTGGGGCAATGTGTAAAGATCGCTATTATGGAGGCGAAGGTGGTCATGCAAGGTACTGGCCACCCACCCCGTCGTGTGCAGTGCAGGCCTTCACCGGTGCTTGCTAAGGGCACTTGCCCCAACAGTCTGTTAAGGCTATATGGGGGATATTTATCTTTGCTCGTGCGTGCAGGTATGTGTTTGTAAGCGAGTGCATAATCACCTGATTTATCTTCTGCTATATATGTCTGAAAGTCAGTTGAGAGTCTTATGTAAGTCAATGAAGATAAGGGTGACTTGAATTTCTCACGAAGGCTGTAAGGTCACAGTTATGTAATGGCTGTGTTTTTGTTAGGTTTAAAGTTTCCACTGCTCTGCAAGAGTTGCGCGTGGTAACTTCGACTCGTGACATGACACCAACACCGACAGCACAATCGGGATAACGTTGCGGGAAAAGTCACAGTTGATTTAATAAGTGTTAAGTTTGCATCCATACACAAATAACCCTTCTAAACTTGCTGTATTAGCAGCTCTGTCTGTGGCTTATTACTCTGCTAAGATATTGCGATCCTTGATTTTATACCTGGCCATGATGCATGCATTACACTGACATCTGATATCTGAACCTTTTCTGGGTTTCCCCAAGGTTTACTAAGCCCGAAATGTGTGGTATGTGTAGCCATGACCGCCAGCTTGATAGACTAGTAACCAGAGGTGTGGACTCGAGTCATGTGACTTGGACTCGAGTCAGACTCGAGTCATGAATTTGATGACTTCAGACTCGACTTGGACTTGCATAACAATGACTTTGTCCCACCTCTGAGGTGTGGACTCGAGTCATGTGACTTGGACTCGAGTCAGACTCGAGTCATGAATTTGATGACTTCAGACTCGACTTGGACTTGCATAACAATGACTTTGTCCCACCTCTGCTAGTAACTGGTTGTGACCCCATCACTACGCTGGATTTAATCGTTGCTCGCTAACAGCACTTGCTGTCTATCCAGGCTAAATGGATCTTTGCATGTGTCGTGTCTGAGTCCTACATTACACAATGTGTGCGTGTGTGTATGTGTGTGTGTGTATGTGTGTGCTGCACATAGTAGTGCAGCGGTTAGCATGCTAGGAGCCTGGCGATCCGAGTTCAATACTCGCTCACGGCCAACACCGGTGACGATTATCTGAACCGGTCCTGGGCCTCCCCTAGGTCGACTCAGCCTCAAATGAGTAACTGGTGCCATGTGTAAACATCGCCACTGGGGAGACAAAGGCGGCCGGGCGTGGTGCTGGCCTCCTACCCCCTCGTATACCGTTTTGGCCTTCATAGGTGCTCACAAACAGCACTTGCCCCAACAGTCTGTTAATGCTATACGGGGGATCTTTGTCTTTGTGCTGCACATATTGTTGATGTAAATAAATAACGATAGTCTGATCAAATTAAGGCAGCCATCCAGGCTGACTGACTTTTGGTAATTTTGAGCCTCGGGAATTTCAGCTGCATCTTAAGGATGCTGTTTATGCTTCAGGCTTGCCTCTGAGTAGTAGCCCGTGTTGACACTCGATTGTTGAATGCACAGAAAGGGAGGGAAATAAGCTTGTGGTTAACCGTACTTCATCTTCGCTTGTACAGCACTAAAACACAGGGGCATTTGGGATAATCACTTGGAAGGTACAGCCAGGAGGATTAACCGGCGTAACTTTAACATCTGACGTTTCGAGTTCAAATGTTGAAATGAATATTGCTTTGTGGGACGTTAACGTCCATGGGAATCATATTCTTGGTTCTTTCGGTAAAGTCACGTAGAAGGGAAATAATAAAATAATATAAATATAAAACAACAACAAAATTTCACGTTTCGACTGCAACACAAGCAATCATCATCAGGTGTGAAATCCACAGCAATACAGTTTTCTTATTTCCCTTCTATGTGACTTTCACCGAAAGAATCAAGAATATGAATCCCTGCAGTCACGAAAGCTTTAAATCAAAATTTAGTCCATGGGAATGTGGAGTTTCCAAACACCGAGCAGATGCGAGTACCACGTGAGCTGTCAGTTTGGGCATAGAGACACTTTGACCTCATCACGTGGCACTGCTCGCGAGCAGGAGGCTGGCTGGCAATGCCACAATGTCTGGTGGCAATCATCGACGTGAAAAACAAAACCGGGGGGCAAATTTTGCCCACGTCTCAACAACAAATATATAACTGGCAACGTTTCGTGCAAGGGCCCTTCTTCATCGAAGCATTGCGTGGAAGGAATGATCTGGAAGAATGATCTCGTTGAGCAGTAGATGAAATGCAATTTCCCTTTGGAGATGAAACCAAACCGCCCGTGCGTTTATTAATTGTCTCTATTGTATTTAACACAACAAGAAGCAACAGCAAAATCGTTGTTGTTGTGTTGCTATCCACAGCTGCTGCCTGCACTGCACCCCAACAGGCGCGGCTTGTGGACTCCCCCTTGACAAAAAAAATCAAACAACATTCAGAGACCGTACCATTGTCGACTTGGATAGGGGTGGGAATAACTCAAGCGCTGCTACTATTAATGTACAGTATTAGCAGCGTTCCCTGTAAATACGCCGCGTTGCTTAATATACGAAACATTTACGGCGGGGTTATTCCTCGTCGTGAGTAGCTCAGGGAGTTTTTTTTCTACGTGGAACTTGGTGTCAAGTGTCAAACAAAAACATTGATGGGCGGGTTTCGTGGTGGCTGCGATTCGGATGATCCACGCGGGGGGGGCAACCAGTGGGGGGGGGGGGGTGCCAACCAGTGGGGGGGCAACCAGTGGGGGGGGGCAACCAGTGGGGGGGGGGTGCCAACCAGTGGGGGGGGCAACCAGTGGGGGGGGTGCCACCAGTGGGGGGGCAACCAGTGGGGGGGGGCAACCAGTGAGGGGGGGCAACCAGTGGGGGGGGCAACCAGTGGGGGGGGGGGAACCAGTGGGGGGGGGGGGGTGCCAACCAGTGGGGGGGGGCAACCAGTGGGGGGATGATTCCCTCCCCCCCACCCAACACCCCCCCCCTACCCAACCCCCCCACGCCGTTGGCCCAGTTGGTAGGCGCCACCACCACCGCCATCAATAACGCGGCACAAGGGGGGAGTGAGCGCGCCTCTCTCGGCCATGCATCACCCGCTGTCACCGAGGGCTTTTTCCTCTCTCCCAGAGCCCTCCATACATTCATTATTTAGTTAGTTTGATGCGACTATTTAGCTACCCACCCCCCCTTATTGTCTACAACATTCTAATTTGCTGTAATGCGTGTCTTCTCTGTCATTGTGTCGTCTATGCAACCCCCTCCCTACCAAGTAAGTTACAGTACATTCGTTGAGGTAGAATGTATTCGAAACGAAAGAATGTTGTAATAACCGCAAAACAACATTTCACTGACTAAACTTGTATCTTCAGCCAATGTTTTTGTTCGTGTGTTTAAACAGGCGCAACGACTTATGTATGGTGAACTTCTTTCGCACCGTACGTAGTCAATCTGAGTTGCGGGAAAAGACATCAAAACTCTAAACGCCACTCAAAGGCATCTTTAAACGCAATCTTTAACAAAAACCAATTCGGTTGTATAAATGTTTAACATCATCCAAATCTTCCCCTCACGAAGTACAAACTTTCGCAAGCTTAACGTCGCCTGCTACTGGTGGGGGGGAGGGGGGCGGGGCCTCGCGGGCGTTTTGGCGCGAGGCGGGGGGCGGGGCTCGCGGCAGTCACGTCCCTGCCGTCTCGTTGCCACGGGCAACCAGACGTGATGTCATCACCCCTTGAACTTGAACTTGCGTGGGGGTGGGTGAGTGGGTGGGGCCTCTGGCTCGGCACAGACCCGAGCAATCGCCCCTCCGCGGACGGAGAGAGCGCCGGTTGGTGGTGGGGGGAGAGCGGGTGGGGAGAGTGGGGGTGGGGGAGTGAGGGTTGTGAGGGTGGGGGTAGTGAGGGTGAGGAGGGTGGGGGTGGGGGAGTAGGGGTGGGGAGAGTGAGGGTGGGGGGAGTGGGGGTGGGAGTGAGAGTCGGGGAGTAAGGGTGGGGGTAGCGGGAGTGAGGGTGGGGGGAGTGGGGGGAGTGAGGGTGGGGGGAGTGAGGGAAGTGAGGGTGGGGGTAGCGGGAGTGAGGGTGGGGGGAGTGAGGGTGGGGGAAGTGAGGGTAGGGAAGTGGGGGAGAGTAAGGGTGGGGGAGTAAGGGTGGGGGTAGCGGGAGTGAGGGTGGGGGGAGTGAGGGTGGGGGGAGTGAGGATGGGGGGGAGTGAGGGTGGGGGGAGTGAGGCTGGAGGGGGGAGTGAGGTGGGGGGAGTGAGGGTGGGGGGAGTGAGGGTGGAGGGGGGGAGTGAGGGTGGAGGGGGGGAGTGAGGGTGGAGGGGGGGAGTGAGGGTGGAGGGGGGGAGTGAGGGTGGAGGGGGGGGAGTGAGGGGTGGAGGGGGGGGAGTGAGGGTGGAGGGGGGGAGTGAGGGTGGAGGGGGGGAGTGAGGGTGGAGGGGGGGAGTGAGGGTGGAGGGAGTGAGGGTGGGGGGCGTGAGGGTGGAGGTGGGGGAGTGAGGGTGGAGGGGGGATTGAGGGTGGAGGGGGGGAGTGAGGGTGGAGGGGAGGGAGGGGTAGTGAGGGTGGAGGGGGGGATTGTGAGGGTGGAGGGGGGGTGCGGTGGGGACGTAGGGTGGGGAGTGAGGGTGGGGGGAGTGAGGGTGGGGGGAGTGAGGAGTGAGGGTGGGGGGAGTCAGGTGAGGGTGGAGTGGTGTGAGGAGGTGAGAGGGGGGCGATTGAGGGTGAGGGGAGTGAGGGTGAGGGGAGTGAGGGTGGAGGGGGGGTAGAGTGAGGGTGAGGGGGGGAGTGAGGTGGGGGGAAGTGGGGGGAGTGAGGGTTGGGAGAGTTGAGGGTGGTTGGGGGAGTGAGGGTGGGGAGACTGTGAGGGTGGGAGGGTGTGAGGGGAGTGTGAGGGAGAGTGAGGGTGGGGAGGGTGAGGGGGGGATAGGGTGGAGGAGGTGAGGGGAGTGAGGGTGAGGGGGGGAGTGGAGGAGTAGGGGTGGGGGAGTGATGAGGTAGGGGGGATAGGGGGGGAGTGAGGGTGGGGGGGAGTGAGGGTGGGGGGGAGTGAGGGGGGGGTAATGCTGCAGAGGGTGGAGCCACGCAAGACCGCAGACAAGAGTAGTCGCTGACCGAGCGAGATTTTTGGAGACTTGATTTTAATTGAAGAGAAAACGAATCAGTTAAACGCGTAAGTATTCGGCTTTCGCGACCAATGTTAATCATAGTAAAGGCCTTTTTCGGGGGGTTAGATTGCGTACAAATAAATGTATCGTAAAACCTGCCACCAGTTGGTAAGATAAACTGGCCAATCCCCTGATGAAGCTGGTTGTAATCATCACGCGAATTGTTTAAACCTTTGCTGAACCAGTAACGAATTGGCACGTTTTGTGTACTTGACAAACCTTACTAATTGGCTTTGTCGGGTGGTGGCGGGTTTAACGACACATTTATATATTTACGCGATCCAACACAAAAAATACCTCTCAGTGAAAGAAAAATTACATGATGTGTGTGTATGAATGTTGAACTTCTTTTGCACCGTACGTAGCCAACCTTGCTAATCGGAGGTGCGGTGGAAGGACAACAAACTAAACACAAAAAATCAGCTATAAAGAAATGAGTTTTCAATCGAGGAGAAATCACTTTTCAATGTAGAGAAATCAATTCTTCTCTTAGCTTTTGTTATTTTTGTGCAAGTTGTATCATGTTGATGCACGGCCATGCCATGGGAAACTTCACCACTTAGTTACATGGTTTTTTCTTTGCTGCAGCCCGCTTTTATCAGGTGTTACCAGGTTACCAGCGCCTCGCAACGAAAATGAAAATGTATTGCCCGGTGGGATTTACCTGTGGCCAAAATAAACCCTAAACTGATCCTCGTCTTTTTTTAGAAGTCTGCGAGTGTGGATGTGGTTGTGGATGTGGGTGGCATAGAGGGGCGGTTTCCCTTGAGTTGGCCACTAGGCGAAAAGCAACCATTGACCCACTTTATTTGCATCTCTGATGTTTGCTTGAGGAATTTTAAGAACCGCGATGCCCTCTGGTGGCTGTCGTGTCGCATTTATATTTGTGGTGTCACGCCTGAAACAAGTTAGATTGTGAGTCGAACACGTTTTTTTTGGTCTATTTCATGCCACATGGCACCATAATTGGCTTAGAGTTGCGAATAATTAAAATTGGGTAACGCAGTATCTGGTGATGCTGCTGCTGCATTGGCAGCGGTACACAAATTGCAACAACAAAACCCAACACATTCGTCAATAAAAATACTTAAAATCAAATATTTATATATAATAGGCAACGTTTCGGGCAATGATCCTTCATAGCATATCAATTATATCCATCCATATTATTTGAGGGCACTGGTGTTGTGTTAAATAGTTGGCAATTGAATTCGACTTTAAATAAAATGGATGTTTATACATTTGTATACCCTGAGTAAGTAGGATGAGGTTTTTTTTAAATAACCTATACTATTTTAAATAAAAAGCGAATTCGAAACCCCAGAATGTGTCACGATAGTTTTTTCCAACCTTTTTGGCTAAATATTGAAATGCATTTGTCATCATTTGCCCGAGGTAGCCTCACGGAGCAGAGCGTCCTCTCAGATTTGCGGGGCTTCTCCGAGCAATACACTTTACTCGCGCGAGCGGAACGACATTTCTGAACGGAGGTGGCCAAACGTCCCAAGCGGGTAAAGGTGCATGCCACTTCTGGCAGAAAGGCTTCCACTAGAACAAGCTCTCGAGCACCTCTCGAGGGTATTTGGTCTACTACTCCATAGTCAGACGTCTTGGAAGAGAGTGGGAGCACCCACACTTTACCCCACCACACGCGGCCAGCCTTATAGACGGTGTGTGTACGTTGAACTTATTTTTTTACTTCTTTCGCACCGTACGTAACCAATCGTGCTAATCAGAGGTGCGGATATACCACTGAGTATAAATAGACGATCACTCAAAAATGCTCTAGAGGCGTCAGACAACCATAGCTGCCACTGCTATCCTGTGGCCTGAAATAAAAAATATAGCTATAGATGACCGACGTATGAACTTATTATGTATTTTGATTATAGTGCACTGCTATTGTTAATCCGGCTGTTATGGATTGACTTATGCAGCTAGCGAAGGATGCGAGGCTTAGTGATGTGTGTTGTGTGTGTCGCTATTGTAAACTTTTAATCACATTTGTTGGGAAAACTGTTACGTTGTTTATATAGCATTGTTTTAATAAGTAAGGGGCTTGGTTTGGCCCAATTTTTTTTTATTTAGTATAGATTTATACTTAAAATTTTTATCTGTATTGTATTATGATTGTTATTGGGATAAAACATCGAAATGGAATTTGTTGCACTTTTTGTACGCAGCATGAACGGGTTGTGCTTTTTCTGTAGAAATGTTATTGTTTACGTATGTGATGTTTATATTTGTGTACAATGAATTTTAGGTGTATCTTGTAAATGTATTGTTTGTTGCGGTTGAACCCAAATCAAGAGCCGAATGGCTCACAGGGTAAATCCTAATAAATGAAACTGAAACTGAGATAACCAATTATATTGCTGCGTGGACAGACAATTGGGTGCCCTTTTACACCTCTGGGTGGACAGAGGCACGGAGAGAATTTTAGGGACGTGATTCTTTGTTTCAACGACCGTGCCGGCAAATGTAATCTTGGGATTGTAAGTCCAGTGTTGTTGTATGGTTGTCCCATGGAAACAGCTCTCCACTATAGGAGAACATCTCTAGCTCATAACCAGCAATGAAACATATGTGGTGCACTTGCCCTCACTCCATCTCAGGCCTTCTTGGCTGAAGGCTTGAATGGCTCATAATAAATTGCGGCGACGACGACGACGTGTAAATGTTTGGAGTAATGTTTTGTCAATGTTTATCTCTTCCTCCCTCTCCCGCTGCAGCAGTCTTGGTATTTAGGTTGAAGCCTTCATCATTTTCCTGTTACGAAGTCACGCAACTGCAAGTCGCCACTCACCCCCCAGACTTTGCGTTCGACTCGCAAAAGCGGTAAACGTGAGCTGGGCGTAGTTTTTTTTTCATTTGAAAATTTTATTTTTGTTATTTTAAATGTAACGTTCTTCCAGTCGGAGCGTTGGAATGGAGAACTGACCATCAAATAAGAACTGAGATCGACCGAGCTCTGTAACGGAGGTTTGGGTGTCGTACAGATCGTCAAGATTGTCCCGAGAGTGTGCCCGCAATAGGTTGTTGGTGGCAGCCAGTGTTTCGCGAGAGAATTTGCTGACCACCCCCTCCCTCGCCCCCCCCCCCACCAAGTGAGTGAAAGAACGGCCTCTCAATGTCTCCATGGGCAGTCGCGGGGGGGGGGCGGGGAGGCATCGTTCTGCAGAGCTGGCAGATTCGACGAGAGGATGAAGGAGAGACAAAGGTGGTGGTAGTGACAGAGAGGTCTGGTTTGTTGAATTTTCTTTTTTACTATACGTATAAGTGCGAGTTTGTAGAATTACCTTAGGATTTACGGTGGGAATTTTTTTTTAAATCGATTTTATTTTGAATGACCAGAAATTAGATCAAATTGTGTTATTTTTTTGTTCCGCATTCGCACACACGTTCACGCACGCGCGCACACACATAAACAAACGCACGAAACACCTAGTGCTTTCCATTGCACTTAACAAGTGTCCACACTTGCATGCACCTAGGAAATGGTAAAAGCTCAACAATTGTCAGAATTGTCCAATTACTATCATTATTCTCTTGAGCCTTTTTTATATCTCGCAGCACTCACACTTGTACGAACGAGCATGAGAGCCTTTTATTAGCATGAGTTGTCAACGTGGCGTACAGGTAGCAGGTGTTAAAGGTAGAGTTTTAACAAAAAAGATTCGCAAAAAAACACGTTAGCCGACAAAATTATTTACTCTAACTCGCTGCGGAGCATTACAAAATGTAATACTGTACTACGTCAGAATTCCTCTGAGAATATACAGACTCTTCACGCATGCAATTCAGTGAATCGGGTCAAGTTGATGGGTCGCATAAGCATGGGAGTCTTGATTCTCCGATTATAGCGGGAGCCGTGGTTATATACACGAGATACACCCCATTTCTGGGCAATATCCTGTCGTAGGCAGTACGCAGGCGTGTTCGCAATGGGCTGTCTCTGCAGAGTGCAAGTGTTCGTCTCATTTGCGAGGCTTTTCTCTCTCGGCACTCTGGACTTTTCTTACACACGTACAAAGATACTTTGCTTCGATATCCGAATAACAAGACAGCTCCGCAAAATTTGCCTTTGAGACTCGAGCACTCTGGAATTCAAATATTTCAAAATTTTCAATCTTCGTTTGCGATTTGTGCATCAGCCCGATTGCGAAAATACGCAGCCGCAAGTCAAGTCTGTTGGCAGAATATACTGCTAATATTCAAAGGATCTATAAACGGTCGATGTAATGACCAGTTGCTGATTGGATGAACACATTTACTCGTATTTGATTGGTCGACTGCCGCGTGCTTTTACTACGCGATTGGTCCGTTGTTTTTCGTTTCTGGTTGGTTGGTCCCAGCTAGCTCGGCTTCAGTTTTTGCTGCCCTTTTGCGTGGGGCTGTCACGTGCCGATTGGCTGAATCTTCGCCGCTGCTGCTGCTGCTGATTGGCTATCTCGCTCGTTGATAATGTGATCCGTGTTTGTGACCTTGGCTCCGCTAAAAATTATACACGAAATTGTTGCCTCCGATGCAACGGCACTATAGCGACCTTCTCATAATTATAGTGGCAGCAGTTTCATAGAAATGATCTTCGGAGACAAGTGCAATGAGGTTTAGCGTTATATTATGGTTATTATCATTCATGAAAAAAGGTTCATAAAAATAACTCGTGATAACATAACAACAAGCGAATGGTATACATTGAAATGTGGCCTGTTCATAGGTGGCAGAAAAAGTAGCAGGTTAAAAATGAAAACTATATATTTGTAAGTAGCGCGAAAAAAGTAATAATTTTTTAGCGCCAAAAGTGTTCAACAGTCCAAAAGCCCCTGGACTCTAAAACGGAGGTTTATTTATGATATAAAACAAATGTCATGGACATGGAGCTAAATATTGGTGAATTGATTTTCAAACAGAAATATAAAATTGTGAATTCTTCCCTCTAATGTAAAACACTATGCGCTCAGACCATTGTAACACCATGCTATAGAACGTGTATGTATATACGGTGCGTAGTGTGCGTGTCATTCTCACGGGGCAGTACATAATTGTGCACAAGAATACACTACAAGCAGTATAACAATAGCACTTATTAAGTATGATCTGAAAGTTTTAAACAAAAAAAATATATATACACAGTATAACTCTTTTTTTTTTAAACTATATTTAGCAACAGGTCTGTTTACATGTTGTGGAAATTTAAAAAAGAAAAGTGTAATGGGTAAAAATTACAACTTTTTCACGGTTTAATTCTGTTGCCCTGCATATGATTGAACCTAAATGCACTAATTTCTAATGCATATGTTATGGATGGGAAAACATTGCAGCTATGGATGGGAGTAGTGGATTGTCGCAGGTTCTGGTGTGACTCGCAGCTTAATTAAGTCAGTGTTTTGTCGTTAATGGGGCGACACGCTCCCAGTGTTGGCGTGATGGTAAGAGAGAGAGAGAGATTAGTGGTGCCAGTGGGGCGAATGGGACTCTGGCTGTTTTGTTGGCTGCTTCCAAGTGCTTTTATCTACGTAAAAATACCCCCCCCCCCCCCCCCCCCATTTGCAAAAAATGTTCCGTTCCACTCTTAAAAACACTGAGCACCCGCAGTGCAGGAACGTACCACTTATTTCGGTGTCTCTGCACAGGTGTGTTCGTGTGTGTGACACACGGGGGGCGGATGTTCGAAAAGTTTTGAGAATGGGATGTTGAAAAGCTGCAACGACTGAGTGTGGGTTAATGTGTGTACGTGTGTTGAACTTCTTTCGCGCCGTACGTAACCAAACCGTGCTAATCGGCGGTGTCCACTCGTGGGAAGTCTAGAGAGTCCCTCTAGAGGATATTTGGCCTACTCTTCCACACTTACATGAACAATATGCAAATGTGAGACATCCAAAGTGACGACAACATCCGGCTGGGTCAGAGCACTTCACTTAAAATGAGAAGGTTGAGAATTTAAATACCGGTCAGGTTTCGGTTCGGCCCATTGGCCTTCTGGGGTCAATACAATTCGTACCATATTGCATTGTGGGTGTATGTTGACAGCAGAGGGCAGTGCAACAAAATCCACTGCTTTTTAATGTACCATGCTCCACTCTCTGTGCTCTTAATGTTCAGCAAGCCGCAGCGTGGTGAAGTACGGTTAAGCAACCTCCACGACCCATGGCCATTCTGTGGACATACTGGTCCTCTCCATGGGAAGGTGGAATTTTCACCATTAACAGAAGACCACCCCGTTGCTTGTTTGAGGTGGGAGACACCTGTACTTGAGACTGAGGCAAACATCAGTTTCTGTGAAGCTCTTCCCACATCCCGATCTCAAATGGCTTTCCCTGCCCCCTAATACTGTAATCACGCAGCGCATGACTGCGCGCGCACACACGTGCCGTATGTGCGCACATTTACAGCCGTAGTATGCACACGTGTGCACGCGTAAACCGGGCTCTTAAAATCGGGGTTCACGTGTGCTGATTTCGCAGGGATTCGCAGATTCAAAAGTGCGTTCTTTGAGGTTGCTGGCGATTACGGACCGTTGACAACCCGACGTAAACTGATCCCATCTTGAAACTGAACAATTTCTTACCCCATTGTCCAACCGGCCATGCTCCGGGGTCGGCGACTTGCAGCTCTGAAGCCGCGTGCGGTGCCTCTTGTAAGGACTCCAGTGCGGCTCTTGAAATTCGAAAAGAATGGCTCTTCTTGTTACTTTGGTGCTGACCCCTGGCCATGTTGAACCACGTTGTTTTTCCACTGCAGAAGTCGAGCCGTGCCACTGACGTCACGCGCAATGAACGCGATGTTAGCCCCGTCTCCCGGCCCCGCTTGGCCCCAAGCCAGATTCAGATGTCTCGTGAGGCCAGGCTTCCGCAGTTTGGAAAAACCACACATACCGTGACGGCCCTGCGGTGGCTCAGCTCGGATGTTCCAGTGGAACAAGGGTATTAGGTGCCGCTATGAATCGGTTGAATTCGCTTTGGAGAATTTAGTAAAAGTAACAAATGTACGGCTCAGGCATGAATCGAAAATGAGACCGAGCGTGAGCGTACCGATGCCTTGCTCCCATGTCCAAAAAAACCTCTCACGTGGACATATAGTTTTCATCTTACTCGATACCCGAGATTGATTGAGCAGCTGAAGCTCTTGGCTGAGGGCTCAAGTCACAACTGGAAGGATGCGAGTTTACGTGTCAGGAGTGGGTCAACTGAAGCCCATCATCCCTACGGGGGTTGATGGGAACGAACACGAATTTGTCGGTTGTTAACAGTGGTTGTATCATGGATAGACTGGTCCTCGGCATCAGAATGTGGAATTTCCACCTCGAGTTCATTGATATCAACAGAGATGAGTACTGCCCAGTGTGCATTGAAATACGAATACCCTTTAACCCTTTATTATAACTGCAAATTAAATCCTAATGTTTTTAATATAATCACTTGTAACTCTATCTGATAATGCTAACCATTAATTATGGAACACATTGGGATGAAGATCGTCACCCACAATAACGAGTGGGTGACCTATTCCAATCTCCACATCTCTCAAGTGCGAAAGTGCGATCGTGAAAGAGTTTGTAACTACTTCCAGTCTACGTCGGGTTGCTGCACATGGAATCACCGTGCAGTTACGTTGCACGCCCTGACCCTGACCGTGACCCCGACGTGAACCCAGTTCAACCCCTGTGCCCACCTCCGTGGAGCTGCCCGTCTGCTCTGAACAAAGAGGCCTTGCACTGTGGTTAGCGGAGTTGTCATCGTCAAAATGTGTCCGAGAGTTCAAATCCCGATTGACTTTTGGCGGTTGTTGTTTGTGGCAGTGTCCTGTGGCCAGGCTTACCCTTTAACTTTTTTAAAAATCTCCTTCTGTAATTCGCTCACACGTTTTGCCTGGCAACCTGGCAGTGATGTAACAAAAATTCGGTTCAATGCAAATCGTTCGTCCTTTATCTAACCAGCTGGAAGCTCTTTGAGATGCATTGTGTCCATTGGGACCTGCAAAGGGAAATCTGGGGAGGAAATCTCGTGATTAATATGGACGGAACAATTCTGCCCATTCCACACTACAGTTTGATGACTTGTCAAGATTTGGGGTCACGATTCTCTTCACAAATGGGGTGTTTTTTTCTTTTGCTCGCCATTGTGGTGCCTGCAGATTCTATAGTTCTATAAAAACGAGTGGCATACATGAATCACAAACAATTGATCCTCACATGCACGATTCAACGCATGCATTGTGAGCGTAAAACATAATTTTAATTACCTAATAGTTTTTCATTTGAGAAAGCTCTATTAAGTTTAATTTTAACAGTAATTTGGACGACGGTAACAATAATTTCTACCGCGCAATGACTGTATGAATATCAGAAATCACAGGATCTTTAACACCTGCTTTACAGCAGACAGAAATGCTTTGTTAACTCCGAAGTGAAATAAGCTGGCCAGTTTTAACGTGAATAGAACCCTGAAGTCTGCGCAAATTGGCCCTATCAGCATGAATGTTAATGATCGTTTCCCTCGACTGCGACTGCGGTGTATTATTTCCTGGGCACGTTAGTCTCTCCCATTCGCAAAACTGCCAATGAAAGAGATTGGCCAAACATTTCTTAATCCTCGTGAAAGGGAGTCTTGAGACTCGGCAAGCCTTTCCTGGGTAGATAAAGGACTTATTATAGCATTTCTTTTTTTTTTGCCTCGTACAACGTTTGGCCAAAACGCCTGCTAATCCCAATGAGCCTTTACTGTGACAGATGTGTAAAATGTGCCTTCAAGCCAACAGCAATAATGAGTAAGTTTTTCGCGGTTGTGCTCTATAGCTCTCCGATGTGTGTTTTGGGTTGGTCCGCACGCGTCAATGGGCACGACGTTCGCCGATTCGGTCCCTGAAGAGGCTGCTAGCACGCGGAGCGAAGCGTCTGACATCAAATGCCGAAACGGCACGTGGCGTGACCTTGAAAAGCACTTCTGAGAGCAATGAGTCATCATTCTTCCGTAGCCCGTTAATAAAGTCACGAATTCGTTCACAACTCATTCAGTTCTTCAAAGCTCTGCATCGCCAAGCGGTGTGGATTTTTTTTGTTTTTTGTTATTTTGCTTTTTAAAAAGAGCAACTTTGACTTGTAAAAGAATTTTTTTTTATTTACAAAAAATCAAACTTAGCGTGTTTGTCTCACCGTTATTACTGTTGTTATGCTTAATGTTCAAATCTGACACGCACCAAGGCAGCTTTATATTGAGCCTCCTTATACTGTATATTCAGGTCTAATATATTCAGTTGAAAAGACCTTTGTCAGTAAATGTAGCTTATCTTTTGTGGCCTTAGCTTAATGCTTCTATGCGATTTGACAAGAGCAAAGTAAAAAGAGGATAGAGAGACACCACTGTGAATTGTGGGCTGTGCGTGTGTGTGTATCTCTTTGGCAAACCATCGCGACCATCATCATTATGCAGTGACGGTCTCACATCGTCTCGTGAAGAAGAAGAACTCTTTCTTTATTTTCCATTGCAAACGGTCGGTTTTTTCTTTTTTGCGACAGAAATTGTTTTTGGCGCCTTAATACTTAACGCTGGGAAGTAACGCAAATTGTATTGACGTTCAGCACGAGTAAACCATAACAAGCCGGCGATTCTTAACAGCGGCTCGTCGAATTGTCGTCTTGCGTCAGTACTCTTTGTGCCTTGGTCAGCGAGCTAATCTAATATGCAAAAACTATACGGGTATAATGGATCCCTCGCTAATGTACGGTTTGAGGTTTACAGCGCTGTTGCTTTGTTAAAGAGAAGAAAGCTCGCGGTGTAAGTCTCGCGCGATCCACGCTCGCTCACGCATGATGCCCCCCCGCTTCCCCGGTGATGCACCCCAACAGCGCCAGTGGTTTGTGGGGGGCTATCGCTCCTCCGTACCGCTTGCCCCTGGGTTCACGCTCAACCAGGTCGCACGTTCAAACCGCTCGCAAATTTCTTGTCGCAGGGACGGGCAGTCCAAAGAGGTTTTGAGAACGGGATATTGAACTTTTGCAAACGTATATAGTTTTTTTTTTTTCCAAAATGCTTACCAGTAACATCAGTGCGCTTTACTGTATTGTATGATGAGTACTTTAACATGGTGCTTATATGTGTTCATAACATGAGGTCAGTGTGATTGTTTTTATTTTATTTTAATATCTTCTTCTCAAAGTAGTTTTGACTGTCCGTTCATTTGTGCGTTTTGGCAGCGTTTTCCAAAAGCTGTGATGTGAAAAAATCGTAACGCAACGCGCAGAAGCTTCAACAGTTTATACAATTTAACACGGGCTTTCGCGACCAATATCATCCCTAATAGAGGTTTTTTTGGGTTAGATCGCGTAAATATATAAACGTGTCGTAAAAAGTTCACGTGACAACCCTTACTAGTTGGCTGTGCCGGTTGATGGTGGGTTTTAACGACACTTTTATATATTTACCTGAATCGAACCCCAAAAAAACTCTAATTTGGAAGATTATACAATTACCGTATCTTCAAAAATGTAAAACCCAGGTTTATTGCTTATTATTTATGAACCTTTCATCGCACCAACTTATGAAAGAAAAAAATAATTCAGCCAAATTTAGAGATAAAAGTACAGCTTGGCCCTAAGTGTGTTTTGGCCGCTTTAATTGGCAAATAAAACGTCTCACCTTTTGTTTGTTTTAAGATGTATCTCAAGTCAGGATGTTAAATCTGATAGGACAGAAGTAAGCGTTTAACTTTCCCAAATGCAATTAATACAAACATATTACTTTAACATTATATAATCGAATGGTAACTGCTATTGCTGGCTGATGCATGCTTATTGTCCAGCAACCTTTGAGGCAGGATCCGTGGATCATAGAAACGTGGAATTGTACGAGATGTCCAACTGAAGGGGAGAGCACGGTGATGTCTGTGTGAGACAGAGGTCGCAACCGGGTACCCGATACCCGTACCCTACCCGATACCCGGCTACCCGTACCCGGCCAGGTACGGCTACCCGTTTGCGACCCTGGTGCGGCCGGGTACGGGTAGGCCGTGAGTCACTGGTGAGTAACCGTTTGTCACTCATTTCGGGCAGGGTACGGGTAGGGAACGGGTACCCGTACCCGGCCAGGTACGGGTACCCATTTGCGACCCTGGTGCGGCCGGGTATGGGTAAGTAATCAAAACCCGATTGCGACCTCTGGTGTGAGACAGTACAGCAAGTGGGTGTCTGATAGACCATCTCTAAAGCAGAGTTGTGTGTTCTTCACGCTCCGTATGAACTTCTCTGACCACTGCAGTTTCCACCCATGCACAAACCATACTCAAAAAACTAATTGGCCAAATTTTTTTCAAACAGGACGCTGTTTAAAAAATAAAAAGTGTATCGAGGCGTGTAATCCAGTGGCATCATTTATGCAGGTAACCCTCACCGAATATCGATATGCTTTTTTGAGAAGAGACATGCATATGCATTGGGATGTTCGGCCGATTTTGTTTTAGTGGAGTGTGTTTTTAACGTGGAGGAAAAGGAGTGGCAAGAGAAGACACGCACGCCAGAAGTGTTCCTGAATCCACTTGCCGTACTGCCATCTCCTCGTTGCTTCACGACCATGCTGGTTTGAGGGCTCTCATAGATCTGCGTGGTCCATTAGAGCCGCTGCCTTCGAGGCGGATGCCACCACTCCTGCCTTTGTGAGAATATCCCTCGGTACGCCACGAATGCGTGCTTCGCGTGAGCAAGCTAAACTGGGTTTTACGTTGTAAATTGGCTCAGACGCGGCGTCATGCTGAGTGGAGCGTGTGTCCTGCTTGTGTTGAATCTAGCGCCTGACCCCTAACCCCCCCTGGCACGTGTTATGTGCACGGTCAAAGCAATACAATAATATTATCCGCAAGTGCGCTGTGAACAATATCTTTGCAAGTGTCTTAAATAAAAGAAGAAGAAAAAAACTAAATACGAAACAAAAAAAAGGAAAAAAATCCAACCGACAGCTGTATTCACCAAAGGACAAGATCAAACATGTATAAATCGCGCAGTGCCTGAGTATTTCATTTACACAGCCCTTGACACGCGTTTGTTAAACAACTGTCAACTCGTGTGTACAACTCGAATGCTTTGTTTTAACCACAATGTTTTGCAATGACACTGGAAGGTGGGCAGCTGTTGATGACGCTCTCGCGGTGGATTTATGTTGTTGTTGTTTTTTGTTTTGTTTGAATGTTTCACACTGGAGCGGCGGAGAGGCGTGAGTGGCACTCGGGATAGACGCGCTGTCCTTTGCGTGTTTTTCCTACTGGACGAGGTCTGTACGCCCGATGCAATCTTCCAACCGTGAGGACAGGGCTAGGGGGAGCCACGTAACCACTGAACCACTCACGTGCGCAGGACACCCATCTGTAGGGCGACAACGTGCTTCTCCATGGGGCAGTGCAGCAAGTAGGTAGCTAACCTATCCGTCTCACGTTGTGAGTTGACCTCCCCCTGGGTTCAAGTTCTCTTCTGCAGGCAGGGAATTGGCCAAACATCACAAGCCAGGGGCCTACTGAGAAATAGTTGTGGGACACGATGCAAATGTCCTCATGTACGCAAAGGGCATTTATCGTTTACACAAATCTATATTTGGAATATCAAGTTAATCCAACGGTTTAAAGTTGGTATTTTCGCAATGGGGTTGACAGACAATGGGCAAGTCATGTTGCTAATCCTTGTGGCAAGCAGTGTTTAGTCAACACTTCGTGTGAGAAATTAGAAGTTAATAAAACAGTGTACACCATTGTCTCCTGGAATGCAACGTATGCCTCCCTACCACACTGCAGGTCATAATGTTATTTTCATTAGCTTGTTTAAATGTGTACAAAAACAATACAGCTTGCAAGCACTCCCCGGTTTTAGGAAATGTGTTTTTTGTTACGATCCAGGCATCTCTCCCGGGTCTCTCCCGGGTCTCTTCCGGCACTGGGAGGCTTGGTGGCACCGCAAGAGAACACTTTCAAAGTTGGGGTGATCTGTGACGATCTAAACGATGAGTGTATCCTCGCTTTGCGAAGCAACGTGAGAATTGCCCCGTTTTGCATTTAAGCCACTTTTGCGAAATGTACCCTCCCCTTCATACAGCATGCACCCCAGACGCTGAGAGGGTCAGTGTTAGAAGGTCGCAGCTCTGAACATGGACATTGTGTGTTGTTTTAGTGACGTATTCAAACAAAATGTAAAACTATAATTTGTTTTCAAACTGTTTTTTCTTTTCTTTTTTTTTGCATACAAGTTTTACCATCGTGAACACAAAAAGCGATTGATGATGATGGCAATCGGTGTTTGCCATTGAGGTTCGGTATCTTCCTAATTCGCATGACGCGTGTAATTTGTAAGCTAACTGTATTGGCCCATTTTAATGCCGGGCCTCTTATGGCATGTGCTGCACTTTGCACACCTTAACAAATGGTAAAGCGTTCTTTTAGTTTCCTTTCAAAGGGCTGGCATATCGAGCGATGTGGCTCCTTTATAACGGCCTGATTGTGCAGGCCCCAATGATAATAACGGCGGAGGGATATTGGTCTCTCCCGCCTCTTCCATCCACGCCATAACACACATGAGTGTATATTTACGCAACAAAACATAATCCTGGTAACCAGGGCACCAAACTTTTGCAATTTGAAATGTCTGCGTGTTGGTATCACTGAGGGTTGTTCCGGTGTTGTGTCCAGTAAACATTTTATAATTGGAATAAGGGCATCAAGATAAAAATTGGCATTTAATTGATGTTTTTACTTGAGCTATTCGTATTATTTTTAATTCTCAATATCCTCTTACACAACTAGCTATGGGCCACTTTAAATGAAATATTCTCAACATGATTGGAGACGACTGAAGGTAACTCCAGAAGCACAGGAGTTCCAGTTTCACCTCCCACAGATGACATACCAGGTAGCTGTGCTGGCCATGCGGGTTGCAGGATGTATTTTTGGCTCATGACATGACTTCGATAGTGTGAAAAATTGGGATATAATTGGTAATTTAAATAGCAAAACGATAAAAATAAAATTCCTCAATGTTGGTTTAGCTTCAAGAACCTAAGCGTGCATTTTCCTGGCATTACAATGTGATCATCACTGCACCAGACAAAATATCTTACTTATGTTTGCACTTCACGTTTAATGGTGTTTCTTTTAGAATAAGAAAAATGTAGCACTTGCTTGTTGGGTCACATAATAATAAAAATAACAGCTATGCACCAAGACATCTGTCCGGCGTGGAAGAGTAGGCCAAAACACCCTCTCCAGGGGTGTTTCTCTTTGAGTTCCGTCGAGTGGAGACCCTTCCACCAGAACTGGCGAGCTAGCTATTGCAGGGCTGCACTTTTACCTCTTTTATGCACAATTTGATCTCGCGGACCCCAATTGCTTTGGCGCTGTCTTGTCAGCGGGGCCAAAGCTTCTACAGAAGCAGTCACCCATTTAACTTGTTTAGTTCAGGATCACACAAGCTTCATAGCAACACATTATCTCATTTTTGTTACACATCTTGTCTGTTAACTGGATAATGGAGAAAGCTGCATCATAGAGGGAACTACAGACACGACAATTCGGAGTCTGTCGAACCCCCACAACACCTCCCGGACCCAGCAGCGAGTGGCTGCCACGTTCTTTCACAGTTACAAAAGTCACTGGCAGGAAAGCACTTTTCTACGGAAGATTAAATGATGTGCACTGAGCAAATAATTTGAGCAGCAAGAACGTGTCCTTTAGGAGATCAAATAGTCGGGACATTGATGGGGTGACCATGTAGATCACAAAGTTTCAAGATCAGTCATTGCATTGTCTTGTCAGGCTACATCATTTTGCAATTGCCCGGTTACGTCTCAATGCAGGAAACATTCGAAAACAAGAGCGTGGCACTTAAAACACTTCAGGATTTCATATCTGTATAAAACATTTGTTTGTATCACCATGTTTGATCAAACAAAAATGCATGCATTGGCTTAACATTGTCGAACTTTTAACGACAATACAAAGTATCATGTGCGTTGCTCTAATAATAAACACATTTGTAGATGTAGCATCGGTATTCATTTGAGAAACTAATCAATCATTTTTGTTAAGTGGGTGTTTTGTTAAGTATATGATCACGAGCCTTATCAAAACCTAAATCATTGGCCCATTGAAGCTCAATTGAATCATGCAACTGGATACATCACTGGAACTAACCCTTTTTAAAAAAAATAAGAAATTAATTTCAGCGGCAGATATCAAATTGTCAAAACAATGAGCCGTGTTTATTTTAAATCTTTTGATAGTATTCGTCATGTGTATGGAATGTTGCGTGCAAGTTTGTGTGTCTCTTAATGCACTGCAAATGCAGATTCCGCGGCCCCGATGTTAAGCACTTAAGGCGAAAATGCTATTTTTGTCAATGTTGTTTTTACGAGTGGACCGTCATATCTAATATGAAGCCACTTTGGTGTTTCTCATCCCACGCGTCACAGACGCATCGTGGGCACGCGGCAGCGCGCGCTTTCAGCACATTTAGTGTGGCCTGGGTTGTCGGGCCCAAAATTTACAACGAATAAAATACATAGAAAGTACTATTAATGTGTGCGCTAATGTTTTTAATTATATTTTTTGCGCTAATATGTTTAATGCTGCAGTCCATTACGTGTATAATTAACATAAAATGATTATTTTTTGAGAATTAAAAGTTTAAGGTAATGGATTTTTTCCTGCCCAGCTTATTTGTTAAAATATTTTATTTTGCCGGTATTATTCGTATATACACGTGTTTGTCTTTGAAATATTGAAAAACATTGCCTAAAATGTCACCTTATGCTATCGAAAGTCAGTACCGTTGTTCGGTGCCACTAAGGCTATTTTAAACGCAAACATAACCGAGTAATTGCACATTCATTTTAGGTTATTTAATTTGGGCAGAAGTCAGTTCGCCGATATTGAGCCAATTTTTAATTAAATTTAAACATTACGTGGCACTGCAAAAAAAAATTCTTAATTGTAATTTCCACTTATATGACACGAGCAATCACACACTGGTTGATTTAAACATTTTCTGAATGTTGTATTCAATGTTTTGCTCTATTACCATTTTTATTCTCGATTATATTTTCACCTTGTATTCCTTACGTGTTTTTTTTTTCCTGCTGTACGTCGCATTTTTTTGCGTTGTATTTGGGAACATTGTTTGAGTTAAACTCTCTGTTTCTACAATTTGTGCAAATAAAAGGCACTATATTTCCATCGTGGCCGCACTCGTGTTTGCGAATGTGCTAGCGGAGATGTCCAGGTTGGGGAAGGGCCACAAGGGGGGGCGACCCCTCTCCCCCTGTTCGTTCGGAATCACGAGAATCCTCGCAGGGAAACTCCATTCCATGGCTGGTTCCGTCACCAGGATGAGTCGACCACGCTCTCGATGAACACGGACCTCGTTTGACTGATAAAGGCGCTTCAAGTGGGGTCACATCACCTCCGTGTCGTCAACCCTCCACCACCCAACACAGCCAATTAGTGCTCACCTATAAGAGTTATAAACACCAACTTTTTATGAATTGGAGGGTTTACGATCTGACCAAAACGTGTATCATAACCGGACTATGTCCCGCAAAAGCCTGCATGTTAAATTTGGAGAGAAACGACTTAAACGCGTTTTAAATCTCACTGGATTATGCAGTGTTGATTTGTTTTGCTGTACGTACAACATTGCTGTATCGTGCAGTATAAATTACAAATGCATTGTCCTGGATTGTCGTCATGTTTTATTGCTTGAAGAAGTGATTGTCAGCGTACTTACCAAAAGTTCTGAGTTCCATTTGCTACATTTTTCACATTTCATGATTTGTATACATATCGACCGACTAGCATGTTTATGTATCTGCACAATACCCACCTAATAATTGCTTGTGCGAGAACTCCTACACTTTGCCGATCCAAATGATCGAGTTATAAACTTGCATAGAGTTTTTGTGAGCCAAGTTGACAACAGAGCCACGCTGCTTATCCGCTTTACCATTTTACAATATCGCGGTGCGTGACAATTGATTCCTCTTTCAAAACCATACACTATATTACCACCAATCTATATTTGAAGTTTAATCTAGATTTGAAGTTTTTATTACCACCGAAGACGCGAGTTTCACACTGCTTGCTCCCACGCAGTTATTTATTACAACTCAATCTCAACGGGCTTTCCATTATCAAAATATCGCAAACAATCGGTTCAAGCCCACATTCTGGCCTGCACCACAGTAAACCATTGAGCTCCTGTACACAGACACACACTTACTATATACACATCACAAAGATTGTGTTGTTATATTGTTGTTGGCTGTGGAGCAAAGATGGGCCAAGTCAACCTCCAACCAAGATGTGAGCTTGCAGCCTTCTGACAAAAACCTTAAATCAAGGGTGGGGAACTAATTCCCTACCGATGACCGAATAGAATTACAGAATTTTCGTATTAAATACCTTTTGAGAACCACGCTCGCACTATACTAAATGTTGACCTTCTTTCGCACCATACGTAACCATCCGTGCTAATCAGAGGTGCATACACGTACACCTTGGCTTTATTCAATGACTTTAAAAAATAATCAACGATCGAACGCGTACACGAGCCAAGAACATTACCCTATAAGTGTGGCTAAGATCCCTGCAATTACCAAAAAACATAATTTCCATGTCGTTTAGAAGTAGCGGGTCTCATGTAGATGTGGGCCATGTGACATGAAGTCGCCAGCCACAATCGCGTTCCAGCACCCCGCCTTTCGCGATGCAATGATGCCAGGTGCTTCTTATCAGTGTGACGTTGTGATGTACTGTTGTGCAAGCAGTGTCGCGCAAAGCTGAAGTGGAATGGCGCAACGAAGTCTGCACGTTCTGCAAGAGGCGGCGTTCCGCGTAAAACTCTGCAAATATGTCACTCGTTTTTATCACGAGAGTTGCACATTACAGTGGATGTCCTCTAGACCCAACAGGCCACTCGAAACCAGGCAGGAGATCTCGGCAGAGAATTGTGGCCTTTTCGTCGAAAACCAAACATACAAGGGCATTGTAGATTTTTCTTTAAAACCATACACAATATCAAGTGTAATAACTTTGTAAAGCTAGATCAATCCAATTTTATTACGAATCATTAATATTTGCAATTAACCTTTTATTTAATGCCAATTCTTTGCCATGCCGACATGGTTAATCTCACGTGACCCCCATCCGACCATTGGGCCAGTGATTACATATTCGACATGAAACATTTAAACAATGATTTTGAACAAAAGCTGCACGTTACGGACGCAAACCGCAACCTTTATTCATGCAACGGTAAAACAACGCAACACGTGCAGCGTTGCAATTGCTTTGCTCACGCCGCTGCTGCCGGAAGAGCCTTCCACGTTGACCCAACGAGGCGAGAAGTGGGAGTCCCCACACGCGACATTCAGGGGCGCCGCGGTGGCTACGAGATGTTAACTCCCTCGCCTGGTGTACAGGAGGTCCTGGGCTCGATCCCGACCATGACGTCTGCTGCTGTATATTTGGAGTTTGCGTGTCTCCCCGTAGTCGCGTGGATTTTTCTCCGGGTCCTTCAGTTTTTCCCTCCACATTTGGAACCGCCACACGTTGAAAAGGATTTGGCTGCAATAAACTTCCACGTGATAAGCCACTTCGTTGAGCTATAGTGACAGCCAGGTGGCTTTGAAGAGCTGTATATCGCTCAGTCGGGCCTTACCTGGCAAAATAAGTTGAGTTATCCCAACGCAGGCGACCGGCTGATTGACTTAACCGAGGTGTAACTGTTTATTATATTAGCTGGTTGGACAGGGGTAGAGTGGGGGGAGGGATTTAAACAAAACTTTCTCAATTGTTTCAACTGCCACGCCGGAATATGGAATCGAACCGGTGACCTCTGAATTGCAGTGCATGTCCAGTGGTGTGGTCACTGTGTGGCAGCACTCTCAAACAATGCTGCGGGTTGCCACAACTCAGAATTCACGGCCCATTTTCAATCCGCTGCTGGATGTAGGCCTCCTGACGCGTGTCGGTCACGGAGGTTGTGTGACCATACTTCACCATGCTGGTCAGTGCGGGTTGGGATGCAACAACATGGCACAATTATTGCCACCAATAACTTCAGCTTTAAATCGCAGTCTTGTATGCTGCGTGACTTAGTGCTTACATTTTTAAAGAAAAGTATTGTATGCTAAGTTGGGTTGAATATTAATTAACTGAATAGTGAGGAGTTGTGACACTGCAGCAGTGGAGTTGTGACCCACTGCAGGGAGGCGTTGTGTGATACTACAGCGTGGAGTTGTGTGACACTGCAGGGAGGCGTTGTGACACTGCAGGGAGGCGTTGTGATACTACAGCGCAGCATTGCGACCCACTGCAGTGCTGATGCAGTGTAACGCAGCATCGCACGACGCTGCCCGTCAAGCGGCGTCGTGCCACACCACACTGGCTCAGGGCTCGGGTTTGTCGTCCGCGCCCTCCTTGCTGATGAGCTGGGGTTCGTCCTCGCCGTCGGGGGGAGGGTGCACCAGCACCTTGTCGATCAGACCAAACTCCTGCGCCTCGATGGGGCTCATGTAGCGGTCGCGCTCCATCACTTGCTCTGCGACCACGCGATGCCATTCGGTCAGAAACAACACCAAACAAAAGCAAAGGGGGTGATGAGATTGCTCGGCTTTGGCGCATTCGCCAATCGCTGCAGAGGTTCACGGTTCGAATTCAGCGACCGCCCCGATTTAACACCGCGGCTGCATGAACAGGAAATTTGCTACGCCCCGTGAGCTTCACTCGCACAGTGCACATTCAAGCTCCTGCGACGTCACCCGCAACTGTAGGATACCGGTCTGCTGTGGTGTCATTGTCCCAAATATGAAACGAATTAAACTGCAAATAATGAAATTGGAATATACAAAGCAACCATCGCCCCCTTCTGAATCAACTTGGAAGGGCAGGGGTCAACTGTGCAACCAAGGGGGAAGGCTTAATGGAGGCGACGACCTTGTTAAGAGGTGGCTGAAGGAAGTGTTGACCGTGCACCGAGAGGGAGACGTCCCGCCAAAAGGCGACGATGAGACGCTCGCAGCAGTCTTAGGAGGTTCAAACGCCGATCGAAAACAGTTTTGGAAATCTGGCCGAGGGAAGCAACGGCGAGGTGCGGCGGTCTCTCGGTGACCTCTGAGGTCAATCCAATCACGTGAGACGATGCGATCGGCCTCTCTCACCGAGCACGCCGATTGGCTGCCGCGTGTGCTTGGCGTAAATGCCGTTGATCTGCCGCTTGAGTTTCTGGATTTCTTCCGCCTGGATCGCGATGTCGGTGGCTTGGCCCTGGTGAGAACAAACGCGGCACCCGCCTCCATCAACGAGCAGAGCAGTTCGCGTGGCCAAGCAAGAGCGCATTCTACTGCTCGTAGCAGAGGTTTGTGGCTCAAGCCCAGCAGCCACCCTGGCTAATGCTGCGGGTGTATCAACCAAAACTCGTACGTCTCGCCTCGGCGTGTTACGTGTGTCTTGTGGCACGACGCGTCACGAGTCGTGAAATGTCACGCGTGGCACGCATTGAGGCTGGACGTGTCACGAGTCAAGGCATTGCACGCGTAGCGTGTGTTGGGGCTGCATGTGTCACGAGTCAAGGCATTACACACGTAGCGTGTGTTGAGGCTGGACGTGTCACGAGTCAAGGCATTACATGCGTAGCGTGTGTTGGGGCTGCATGTGTCACGAGTCAAGGCATTACACGCGTAGCGTGTGTTGGGGCTGCATGTGCCACGAGTCACGTAGCGTGTAGTGCCCCGTCCCGTGTGCTGTGCGCACTGCGACGACGTACATACGCGCCCCCGGAGGGCTGGTGGATCATGAGGCGCGAGTTGGGCAGCGAGTGGCGCATGCCGTGCGTTCCGGCCGCCAGCAGCAGGGAGCCCATGCTGGCCGCCTGGCCCACGCACCACGTGCTGATGGGGTTCAGGATGTATTGCATGGTGTCGTAGATTGCCAGGCCGGCCGTCACCATTCCCCCTGCGCGGCACAGGACAAGACGCCCATGTTGTCTGCGAGTCTCGTGATGCACGTGCGTCGACTGCCCGAGGGAGCGGTGGTGCAGTGGTTGGTGCGCTCCTCTACGAACCCGGGACGACCTCGGTTCAATTCTCGGCCGTGGCTAACATTGCCGGTGATTATCTGGAGAGGGCCTCACTTAGGTCAACTCATCCTTAAATTAGTACCAGGTGCGATGTGTAAATGCCAATTCCGAGCAGACGAAGGCAGGCGGGCATGGTTCTGGCCACACCATACCACCATCATATGCCATGCCGGTCTCTATAGCTGCTAACAATCTGAAGGACTACAGGGTAATCTTTACCATTACTTGTAAGCGCCTTCTTGAAAGCATTTCTCAAACGCGTATCTGCAAACACTGCCCATTAAATTGTCGATAAACGTTTACTTAATGTATAACGGCGCAAAACGGGTGTGTGCCAGCCTGTAGCACTGATACACACACACACGCTCGCCATCGCACTGAGATGTCATGTGATCAAATGTACACCATCGATCCGAGTTGCATTGGGCCAGCAAATGAAAATGCAAAGCAAAACGCTGCGTGCAGCCGCGACAGACTGCTGTGTCCGCAAACCTTAAGCCTCTTTGCAAAAGTGACTCGTCTTAATGGGCTCTCTCACCTTGCTAGCAAGTCAATGCGTGTACGTGATAGGCAACCCAAAACACAAAAGAGCTATTGCAGATATGCTCCGTCGTTTGTGACGGGCTGTTTGGTATGATTATAAAGCAATGTCAATGGATAAAAAAATAATGCAGTCACAATAACATGGTCGCCCTGGTGGCTAGGAGATGTTATCTCCCTCGCCTGGTATGCAGGAGGTCGTGGGTTCAATCCCAACCACGACGCCTGCTGCTGTATAGTTGGCGTTTGCACGTTCCCCCCTGTGGTCGGGTGAATTTTTCTCCGGGTCCCCCGGTTTTTCCACTTCACATTTACAATCAACACGCATTTAGAGTATGTGGCTGCTATACATTTCCACACAATAAGCCACTTCGTTGAGCTATCATTTGTGGCCAGGTCGTTTCTGAAAAAGGGCTACATTGCTCAGTGGGGCCTTACCTGGTAAAATGAGAAATAGTTTAGTTTTTAGTAAAAGTTTCACGTTGCAATAGCACGACGATGGCGCCCTCTCGTGTTATCGAGGCAGAATCACTGCCGGAGCGTTTCACCGGTGCCAGCCAGCCAACCATATTAAGTACGCGTGTCACAACGCATTGATCCATCGCTTAAAATGGATTTTGACATGAAAATACACGCATTAAATTGTCAGAATAAACATACGCAGCCACTTAAGACGGGATAAATTCACTACAATAGAGAAAAAAACATCGATTTTATTTTTACCGTGGCCCCAAAATTCCTGACAATTCGTGAAATTTGCGAGGAGGGTGAATGGTTGCGTGTGTTACGTTAAGCGAATTAAATTGTCCGCCACGAAAGTTCACACCCACGACGGTGATGCCGGTTTCATAAAGCGGCCTCGTGGGAGTTTCAGAGCCGGACTGGCAGGTTTCGGTCCTCCTCGCGCATGGCTGAACGTAAATAATACTGGTAGGAACCTCCTGGTTCCACCAGCCCACAGGGGATTATTGTGTCCGTCCGTCTGTTGTGCATCCAAAAATGGGAGGGGTAGGGCTGGGAGGGGTAGGGCTGGGTGGGGAGGGTGGGGAGGGGCTGGGTGAGGAGGGGAGGGTGTGGCTGGGTGGGGAGGGGCTGGGCGGGGAGGGTGGGGAGGGGCTGGGTGGGGAGGTTTGGGCTGGGTGGGGGGTGGGAGAGGTGGGGCTGGGTGGGGAGGGGCTGGTCACCCCGTGGTACCCTTATAAAACTCAACGTTTAACCTACTCACGCCGGCTTGTGCCCACCCTCACAGTCGGCCATATTTGCGGGATACACCACGCCGCCGTTGACCCTGGCCATTGACCGAGCAACCCAACGTTCCTACCAGCTCCCTCCGCAGGAGTGTGTTTATCTCAAAAGTAATTTTAGATATTTAGTTGCAGTTCTTTGAGCCAACTGGTGTGTCAGCAGTCGCTCACCGAACCCATCACCCATCAGATTATTTAATTGACAGGAGAAGACTGAGAATGCTGCAGTAACCTTGATAACAAAGTTAAATGGCACCGAAGTATGTACAAGACATTGTTTGTCCTGGGCTGTCCAACAAGAGCCTCAAGTATTTAACGTTGTGTAGGGCAGCCCAGGACACATAGCTAAAGTATATCTCTACAAGGGTTATTTAGAATATTCATTTAAGTGGTGTGGACCCTATGAGACCTGTGGGCTGTATTCGGCCTCAGACTTTCTTTCCAAAGGGTCTCTCATTTTCCTTTTATACGGTCCACAGCCAAACATCACCTACCACTTTTGACACGGCCCTCAAATAATATTTATTCATCACTCCAAGCATCTGAGCATCACTCATCGCGTACCAGGGGCCGAAAACTTCTGACCTGGCAACGCCGTTTCAATTTGTTTGCGTGCACTCGGCCACTTCTGTCACCGCAAGGGTCTCCTCATGCCCGGTCGACATGCGTGTTTTATCTTCTTGGTTCTTTCGGTAAAGTCACGTAGAAGGGAAGTAATAAAATAATAAAAATAAAACATTATTACTTCCCTTCTACGTGACTTTACCGAAAGAACCAAGAAGATGTATCCCTGCAGTCACGAAAGCTTTAAATCGAAAGAAATGCGTGTTGTTTTTCTTGCGTCGCTGCTGAACAACGGTAAGGTGTGCTGCTGCAATGTGCGGTCCCAAAAAAGTGATTTGAACGTCCCAATTTGGGTCCCCAGACAGGAAAGGGATCCACAGCGCGGCTTGAAGGGTTCACGGTCACCCGCCCCGCCCGACTTCTGAGGAGGTCCGCTTGGTGCGTGCCGGCTCCCCCTACCGTTCTGCCTTTATCCCTCATTGTCGCCTCTCGGTCTATAACCGCCGCTGCTCTTGCTCGTAGTCCCCACGTGTGTGGGGCAGCGAGCCCCATCTCCTCCCCGTCTACGCGCCCAGGAGTAGTGAGTACCGAGGCCGGGCACGAGTCCGCAGAGTTTTTATACCCCCCTCCCCACTCCCCCGCCTTGTTGCGGTCTGTACCTTGTACTGAGCTCTTGTTTGTTGCAAAAAAAAAACCCACAATGAAATGAAAGAGCGATCGCGGTCACCATCCACGCGCCCGTGCGTTTGTCCCGCGCGCACCTGGGCTGTTGATGTACATGTGGATGGGCTTCTTGTTGCTCTCCGACTGCAGGAAGAGGAGCTGGGCCACGACGAGGCTCGCCACCGTGTCGTCAATCTGGGGCCGCGCAGTCAACCCCCACCACCACCGCGCCGTCAGCGTACCGCGCCAAGAAAGCCGTGCCGCCAGGCCGGCAGCGTACATCGATGAGGTCTCTGGCCGAAGGCCAGCGCAAGGGCGGGCGCGGTGACACGGCCGAGCCGCTCGATTGCCGAAGTTCGCGGTTCAAACCTAGCGGCTGCCCTGGTTAATACTGAAGGTGTAAAGGTGCTATAGGAGTACCCGCGTGCGCACCCTGCCAATTGACTAACTGTACGTGTATTAACCAAAACACGCCATCTGTTTCTCATCGGACGTTAACGATCTCGTGACGTCATTTTAAAAGCGAGATTAGGTTGTGCGTGCAGGCGTCACGATCCAAATTATAATTACGAGCAAATTACTTAATTGGGTAAAAACCACGACGCAACATTGGCCCCTGCTGGCAGACTATAGTCGCCTGTGAAACATAGCAGCTTCAAGTTAGCCTTGCGCGATAATAACAAATGATTATTTTTCAATGAAAGTCAATTTGTCTCTGTCCTAATGAGCGATGTGGCGGTGATTATTTATCCCGGTGGTCTCAAGACTATGGTTGAACAACTCATTCCGGGAGTGCATTCCTCGATCAGACAACCAGTACTGACTGTCTACAAAGCGATCATTATTTTATCAACCGCAGATGGATAATGGACCGGTTGATACGCCCAGCCGAGATTTGAACTCGTAACTATTAAAACCAAACTAAAACAATTTTTTATTTTACCAGGTAAGGACCACTAAGCTGTATAGCTCATTTTTCAGAAGCGACCTGGCCACAAATAATAGCTCAACAAAGTGGCTAATCACGTGGAAATTCATACCAGCCAAATACTCTAAAGGCGTGCTGATTCTAAATGTGGAGGGGAAAACCCAGGAGGACCAGGAGAAAAATCCTCGCAACCATGGGGAGAGAGACCCGCCAACTCCAAATATACAGCAGGCGTCAGGGTTGGGATTGAAACCACGACCTCCTTCATTCCAGGGGAGGGCGTTAACATCTCGCCACCATGAAAATACTGCACGTCTTTAAATAAGAGCTTCATAGCTCATCGGATTCCGCGAGTCTAAATAAAGATTCTGATTCCGAGTCAAATTCTCTTAACAAAACACGTGAACTCAAATCGTAAAAAAGGTGATGCTTGACGTCCTGTGAGTAAAATGCTCTTTGTTTGTCCCGAGTGAAGGCGATTGCTCACCGGACCCATCACGCAGATGATTCTCTCCCTCAGCAAGCGTGAGTAGATGTCGTAAGCCCTCTCCCCACGTCCCTTCGAGGCGACAAACAAATCACAACATGCTTAGTACAGCAGATGACAGTGCCATCCACTTCCGGTTTGCGAGTCAATCTCTCCGGACCAGAGCGTCGCCCAGCCAGGCATTCAATTCCACTGTCACAGCTAAAACATGCTCGTACACGTACACCCCTTTTTATCGATACACTGTTAGATGAGGACCATACTTCGTGCTGGTTGGCAGGGTGGTACATTGGCAACACTTGGGCTCACAAGCAAGAAGGCCATGGGTTTCATTGCCCACTGTGCGGACTCTGTGTGTATGATCTCCCTTTGTTGTGTACGGCTATCCTGAAGGTTCTCCGGTGACTCGTATTGGCCGAACATACCAATGCTGAAAATGTGACCTTCAAATTACTCGATGTGAATACACAACAATGTCGCCCACAACTGCAAGAAATTGGCAGCACCCTCCTGAAAAAGTATTGATGCGAGGCGAGGCTTTCCTGGGTAAACACGCAAAAAAATGATACACATGGTACGTGTGTATGTTGAACTTCTTTCGCGCTGTAAGAAGCTAACCGTAATAATCGGAGATGCGGGGGAAGGACAATTAACTAAACACAAAAATCAGTTCTAAAGAAATTAGTTTTCAATCTAGATGATTTAAAATACATAGCTGGATGTAACTACCAGCGAAACGTCGTCCTCAAAAATTGTAAAGGTTGTGGTTTCACGCTTCAACACACCGGTGAGCTAAAGTAGTGAACTATTTGTCTTTTGTCAACGTGACACTTTTTTACTGATTGGCCGTGTCGGGTGGTGGAGGGTTACAACACATTTATAAATAACGCGATCTAAACCCAAAAACCTTTATCATGCACGACAATGGATGTTGCTGTATTGACCCTCCCCGTCCACAAAATAACGTTACAGCCGCCTATGACCGATTTTATGCGCGTCCATCGTTCATCCAAGCACCATCCACGGGCTCAACTTGCTGAGTGCCTGGGCTCTGATGAGATCGGGCACATTCTGGCTCACTTGGTGATCTGGTCCAACACCAATGGAGACTAGGCTCTAAGAAAAGCTGTCTCGGGTGTGGACCAATCAACTTCAAGGACAGTGCATATCATTATCATGATCAGAGTTGTTTCTTTTTGTTTGCATTTTGACTGCTTGTGTTGTGGTTATTGCAAACATGACCCCTTGTACAAAGGTGTCAGTTTTTGTACCAATTGAAAGGGTAAAAACCTATTACTATATTTTGCCACTGGTAAAGGAGGTCTCATAGTGTAAATATTATCGGAGTTGTTTCTTTTTTTTTTGCATTTTGACTGCTTGTGTTGTGGTTATTGCAAACATGACCCCTTGTACAAAGGTGTCAGTTTTTGTACCAGTTGAAAGGGTAAACACCTACTACTATACTTGGCCACCTGTTCACAGACCGATTGCTCACGAATGGGTGAATGTTCCCCGCACGCGCTGTGGTCTCACAGTCTGCTCGATGACGATGGGCACGAGTGGACTGCAGTGTCGTGCCGATAGTCGCAGGTCGCGATGTAAGGGGAGCAGTCCTCCCACAGCACGCACCAGACTCTGTGCGGAAAAACAACAACAACAACGCATTTAAAAACCAAGACTTCATCGCAACCAACGCAGACTCATCTTGCCATTTCTTTCTTTCTTCTGCCAGATTCCGCTGCTGTTACACAGCCGGCAGAACCTGGATTAAATGTTGGTGGATGCCCGGCACACACGCGTTTGATGATTTGTTTGAGAGTTTATTCCGATAGTTTATAAAATCTGGTGTGGTGGAGGTAGTGACCGTGTGGGGTGAGGATATAAACATCTCACAGACCAGAGCCCCCCGGCTGTTACTGTCACCATGTGAGGGCTAACCCTGGCAAGGGTGGCACAGGCGGGTTTCTTGCAATCGGGTTTAATTGTCTTTTGATATTAAACCCGATCATCTGAGATTGGGAAAAATCCGGTTTAGTTGGTTCTAATTGCGGCATCCGAGCGGAACTTCTCAGCGATGGGCTTCATCCATTCCAAGCTCAGGAACTCACTGGCAGCGCCCACGATTGTGGAGGAGGAGAAGCTCCTCGTGTTCATCAAGACCAACCTACGATAGCAGCACCGACGAGGAAGCAGCCTAAGCCTTGGATCAGAGTCTCGTATTCATCAAACCAGGGTTTAATTTTCCCCGAAATCGGGTTTAATTGTATTAAAGAAAAACCCCGATGCCAGCCGCTGGACAAATCGGGTTTTTTTCCACCCGTGAACTCTGGGCAGTTGCATAACAAGCAGCATCCCAGCAAAGTCCTCATCCCAGCGAGGTTCTCATCGCAGTGTCGTGGTCTTAGTTTGGCTACACGAGGAGGCGCGGAGGCAAGCGCCCATTCACCCGGCGTTTTAAACACTTTAACCTTCACACACATCAAGACAAACTCAGCGTGAATTTATCGCATACACATTGTAAGAAGAAACCAACAACAACAAACGCACGGGGAGACGAACCTGAACGCGCGAGAAAGCCTGGAAGCGCATGTTTGAATGAATTAAGAGCGGGCAAGAAGTGTCACGTCGCTTGATGTGTTCCCAAGTCTCTGCCTCTTCGCCACCAACAGCAACAGCACCAACACCTCCACTACCACATGTGGCAGCTGCTGCAGTGGGGCCACTGAGCTCAAGTCCGCCATCTTGGTAGGGGGAACTACTTTTACTCTTGGTAGATGGGGACTATATTCTATCTAGATTTGAAGCTTTCGTGACTGCAAGGATTCATAGTCTTAGGTTTTTTTCGGTAAAGTCACGTAGGAAAAAAATAAATAATAGGAAATTGAATTTTTTAATTACATTTTTATTATCAATAGAAATGTAATTGTATTATTTTTTTAATTTCTCTTTTTACCTAAGACTATATTCTTGGTTCTTTCGGTAAAGAAAGAACCAAGAGTATGGATTCTTGCAGTCACGAAAACTTCAAGTCTCGAAAGATGGGGACTACTTTTACACTTGGTAGTGAGGAACTACTTTTACTCTCCGCAATGGCGGCGTCGTCATCGGCGCGTGCTGCGGCGTTCCACCGCTCGCGCATTAATCTCAACGGGAAGCTTCCCTTACCAACATGGCCGCCGTGTTTACAAGCGCGATGTCGTGACCAGCGCGTTCGCGACGCGCGACTGATATAAACTTTATTACTTTATCAACAGCGTCGTGCGTCTGTCGACAAGACGTTCTGAACACCACATGTGTACATTGTGCAAAAGGCGTGGAGCCTTCAGTAAACCACACACGTTTGTGGTAAAAAAAAAAAACATGTAAAACACATTCCTGCGGAGGGAGCTGGTAGGAACGTTGGGTTGCTCGGTCAATGGCCTGCAGGGTCAACGGCGCGTGGTGTATTCCGCAAATATGCCCGACTGTGAGGGCGGGCACAAGCCGGCGTGAGTAGGTTAAACGTTGAGTTTTATAAGGGCACCACGGGGTGACCAGCCCCTCCCCACCCTGCCTCTCCCCACCCAGCCCCTCCCTGCACGACGGACGGACGGACACAATAATCCCCTGTAGGCTGGTGGAACCAGGAGGTTCCTATCAGTTTAATTATTGTAACTGATTTTTTTGTGACAATGAAATATTTATTATCGTAATAATCAAATTAATATTCTTGGTTCTTTCGGTAAAGTCACGTAGAAGGGAAATAATCACACCTGATGATGATTGCTTGTGTTGCAATCGAAACGTCGTGAGAATTTAATAGTTTTATTTTATTTATTTTATTATTTCCCTTCTACGTGACTTTACCGAAAGAACCAAGAAGAAGAATAATTGCATTGGTACAATAATTATTTAATGATTACAATCATTATTTATTGTCACAAAAAAGAATTTCATTGTTACAATAGTAATTTCATTATTACAAGAATTCTTATTTGTCACAAAATGATTATTTCATTGATACAATATAATTTCATTATTACAATTATTATTTCATTGCTACAATAATTATTATTTACTCACAAAAATAATTTCATTGTTACAATAATAATTTCATTTCGATTTAAAGCTTTCGTGACTGCAGGGATTCATATTCTTGGTTCTTTCGGTAAAGTCACGTAGAAGGGAAATAATAAAATAATAAAAATAAAACATAATAAAATACAATTCTCACGACGTTTCGGCCACAACGCAAGCAGCCGTCCTCAGGTGAAGAACAGGTCTGTCGGGGAGACAGCGTCTGAATGAATCAAACGTCGTGATAATTGTATTTAATGATGTTTTATTTTTATTATTTTATTATTACCCTTCTACGTGACTTTACCGAAAGAACCAAGAAGATGAATCCCTGCTGTCACGAAATCTTTAAATCGAAAAGCAATATTATTTTATTATTTAAAACGATTATAATATTTCATTTTATTACATTATTTTATTGTATTATTATATTATTTTATTATGTTTTATTTTTATTATTTTCATTATTTCCCTTCTACGTGACTTTACCGAAAGAACCAAGACGATGAATCCCTGCAGTCACGAAAGCTTTAAATCGAAATTATTATTTTTGTGACTTTTTTTTGTAAAACAATAAAATCAGGCGAGCGCGGAGGACACCCCCCTCCACCCCGTCTGAGCGCCGGCGTTCCCTCCCCGTGTGGCTGGGGTCCTAGCGCGAGCTGTGCGCGTGGCGATGACGCGGCCACCCCCCCGCCCGCCCCGCCCCCCCGCCCCCGCCATTGGAGACAGAGACGCGGCCTCCTCGTCCAGCGGCTCCCTCCTCCTCCTCCTCCTGACGCGGCTTCGCGTCGCCAAACCTCCAAATCTCCGCCGCGCGAGAAAATAAAACAACTAAGAAACTTCGCCCCACTCCGCCCACACCTCACACCGCCATGTCGAGCAGCATGATGAACATCTCCAGCATGCGGCGTCTCGTCGAGCAGCTCCGGGTGGAGGCGAACCTCGAGAGAATAAAGGTCCCTTACACCCCCCTCCCCCCTCTCTCTACCCCCTTACACCCCCCCTCTCTACCCCCTTAGATCCCCCCTCTACCCCCTTACACCCCCTCCCCTCTCTCTCTCTCTACCCCCTTAGACCCTCTCAGTCTCTACTCCCTTACACCCCCTCCCTCTCTCTCTACCCCTTCAGTCTACCCCCTTAGACCCCCTCTCTACCCCCTTAGACCCCCCCTCTTCCCCCCCCTCTACCCCCCTCTACCCCCTCAGTCTACCCCCTTAGACCCCCCCCTCTACCCCCCTCTACCCCCTCAGTCTACCCCCTTAGACCCCCTCAGTCTACCCCCCTCTACCCCCTTAGACCCCCCCCTCTACCCCCTTAGACCCCCCCCCTCTTCCCCCCCCCCTCTACCCCCTTAGACCCCCCCCTCTCTACCCCCCCTACCACCTTAGACCCCCCCTCTACCCCCCCTCTACCCCCTTTTGTCTATATCGTTTAACGGTTGGGCTACGTACGGTGCGAAAGAAGTTCAGCACGAGGAGATGAGCCATGTTCTATTGGCGGTGGGGCAGTCTTCATCGGCTCTCACATCCTCCACCCACCTCGCTGCTATTTTATATTCCGTGCGTTGCCTATTCAGGCCGCGGTGTTGTTGTTGACGGACGAGTTTGTTTTTATTTGTAGCACACGATGCCAGTGCTGCCAGTGACGCATCGCCTGGTACACAGGAGATCTGTGTCTCTCTCACCATCATCACGGGGGCTATGATATGTTAACTACCTCGCCTGGTACACAGGAGGTATGTGTCTCTCTCACCATCATCACGGGGGCTATGATATGTTAACTACCTCGCCTGGTATACAGGAGGTCTGTGTCTCTCATCATCATGACGGTGGCTGAGATTTGGTACACAGGAGGTCTGTGTCTCTCTCTCTCATCATCATCACGGTGGCTATGAGATGTCGACTACCTCGCCTGGTACACAGAAGGTCTGTGTCTCTCTCATCATCACAGTGGCTAGGAGATGTTAATTACCTCGGCTGGTACACAGGAGGTCTGTGTCTCATCATCACGGTGGCTATGAGATGTTAACTACCTCGCCTGGTACACAGGAGGTCTGTCTCTCTCACCATCATCACGGTGGCTATGAGATGTTGACTACCTCGCCTGGTACACAGGAGGTCTGTGTCTCTCATCATCACGGGGGCTATGAGATGTTGACTACCTCGCCTGGTACACAGGAGGTCTGTGTCTCTCTCATCATCATCATCACGGTGGCTATGAGATGTTGACTACCTCGCCTGGTACACAGGAGGTCTGTCTCTCTCTCTCTGTCACCATCATCACGGTGGCTATGAGATGTCGACTACCTCGCCTGGTACACAGGAGGTCTGTGTATCTCTCATCATCATCACAGTGGCTAGGAGATGTTAATTACCTCGCCTGGTACACAGGAGGTCTGTGTCTCTCATCATCATCACGGTGGCTATGAGATGTTAACTACCTCGCCTGGTACACAGGGGGTCTGTGTCTCTCTCATCATCATCATCACGGTGGCTATGAGATGTTGACTACCTCGCCTGGTACACAGGAGGTCTGTGTCTCTCTCATCATCATCACGGTGGCTATGAGATGTTGACTACCTCGCCTGGTACACAGGAGGTCTGTGTCTCTCTCATCATCATCATCACGGTGGCTATGAGATGTTTACTACCTCGCCTGGTACACAGGAGGTCTGTCTCTCTCATCATCATCACAGTGGCTAGGAGATGTTAATTACCTCGCCTGTTACACAGGAGGTCTGTGTATCTCTCATCATCATCACAGTGGCTAGGAGATGTTAATTACCTCGCCTGTTACACAGGAGGTCTGTGTCTCTCATCATCATCACGGTGGCTATGAGATGTTAACTACCTCGCCTGGTACACAGGAGGTCTGTGTCTCTCTCATCATCATCATCACGGTGGCTTTGAGATGTTAACTACCTTGCCTGGTACACAGGAGGTTGTGGGTTTGATCCCGGCCCTGACGCCTGCTGCTTGTATACTCTTTGGTTCTTTCGGTAACGTCACGTATAGAGAAAATAATAAATTAAATACTAGCATACGCCGTTTCGATTGCAACACAAGCAATCATCATCAGGTATAAATGAAATAGAAAAAAACCTAGTAAACTTAGAAACACAATGCTATACAACACAGAGAGTCGGCTAACACAACAGTCAACACCCCACCTGGTTGATTACGTTCTTCCAGAGAATGCTACATTTGAGAGAGAGAGATAAAACACAGAACCGGAGACACAGACAGACACACAAGCACAGAGAGATAACACAGAGACACACAGAGAGAGACACACACACATTGGTGTGTGTGTGTCTCTCTCTCCACGTGGTCTCGTGGATTTTTCTCCGGGTCCTCCGGTTTTGCCCTCCACATTTAGAATCAACATCACTACGCGTTTAGAGTCATTTTCTGCTGTAGATTTGATAAGCAACTTCCTTCATCTATCACTTGTCGCCAAGATGCTTCTGGAAAACAGCTCTCTCGCTCGTTCAGCAGTTCCACTACTGGATTTTTTTTTCCGCCTGAGGATCGAAACATCGTGACATTATTTTTTATTTTATTATTTTTCTACCTAAGTGACTTTACCGAAATAACCAAAGAGTATGGAAAAGAGCTGTATAGCTCAGTTGGGTCTTACCTGGTAAAATAAAAATAAAACTTTGCTTTAGCTTGCTCACGCCGCTGCTTGTGAGAAGCCTTTTAGCTGAATAAGTGAACTCTAGCGGCTGTTAGTGGTCTACGCTTCCATGTTCACCAGATTCGTCTTTGATGAGGTTACAGATTCAGCCGAAATTGGAATCCTGTGATGTCTGGGGGTGGAACGACCCTCAGTTTCTACCCAACGGCATTGACTGCACTCACTCGCTAAATCGCTCATCAGTGACTCGCTGATTCACTACTCCACTCACTCGCTGATTCACTCAGTCACTCGCTGATTCACTTCTCCAGTCACTCGCTGATTCACTCCTCAGTCACTCGCTGATTCACTCCTCCACTCACTCGCTGATTCACTCACTCAGCCACTCGCTGATTCACTCCTCCAGTCACTCGCTGATTCACTCACTCAGCCACTCGCTGATTCACTCAGCCACTCGCTGATTCACTCCTCCAGTCACTCGCTGATTCACTCACTCAGACACTCGCTGATTCACTCCTCTACTCACTCGCTGATTCACTCCTCCACTCACTCGCTGATTCACTCCTCCACTCACTCGCTGATTCACTCCTCCACTCACTCGCCGATTCACTCCTCAGCCACTCGCTGATTCACTCCTTCACTCACTCGCTGATTCACTCCTCCACTCACTCGCCGATTCACTCCTCAGTCACTCGCCGATTCACTCCTCAGTCACTCGCTGATTCACTCCCCCAGCCACTCGCTGATTCACTCCTCCAGCCACTCGCTGATTCACTCCTCAGCCACTCGCTGATTCACTCCTCCACTCACTCGCTGATTCACTCCTCCACTCACTCGCTGATTCACTTCTCCAGCCACTCGCTGATTCACTCCTCAGTCACTCGCTGATTCACTCCTCCAGCCACTCGCTGATTCACTCAGCCACTCGCTGATTCACTCAGTCACTCGCGGATTCACTCCTCAGTCATTCGCTGATTCACTCAGCCACTCGCTGATTCACTCAGCCACTCACTGATTCACTCCTCCACTCACTCGCGGATTCACTCCTCAGCCACTCGCTGATTCACTCACTCACTCGCTGATTCACTCCTCAGCCACTCGCTGATTCACTCCTCCACTCACTCGCTGATTCACTCCTCCACTCACTCGCTGATTCACTCACTCGCTGATTCACTCAGTCACTCGCTGATTCACTCCTCAGCCACTCGCTGAGTCACTCAGTCACTCGCTGATTCACTCCTCAGCCACTCGCTGATTCACTCCTCCACTCACTCGCTGATTCACTCCTCCACTCACTCGCTGATTCACTCCTCCAGCCACTCGCTGATTCACTCCTCAGTCACTCGCTGATTCACTCAGCCACTCGCTGATTCACTCCTCAGTCACTCGCTGATTCACTCAGTCACTCGCTGATTCACTCCTCAGCCACTCGCTGATTCACTCCTCAGCCACTCGCGGATTCACTCCCCCAGTCACTCGCTGATTCACTCCTCCAGTCACTCGCTGATTCACTCCTCCAGCCACTCGCTGATTCACTCACTCAGTCACTCGCTGATTCACTCCTCCAGCCACTCGCTGATTCACTCCCCCAGTCACTCGCTGATTCACTCCTCAGCCACTCACTGATTCACTCACTCAGCCACTCACTGATTCACTCACTCAGCCACTCACTGATTCACTCACTCAGCCACTCGCTGATTCACTCCTCCAGTCACTCACTGATTCACTCCTCCACTCACTCGCCCACCGGCGATCAGTCGCCCCCCCATCACTCTTCTCGCGCTACTACCGCCCTGGTCACCGTCGCCGTGAACTTGACGCATCGATCCCTCCCCACCACGCTTCGCTCCGCACTCCCAACAGCCACAAACTGCGCAGGTCACCACCACAACCCCCTCACCGCAGCTCCCAGAATGCCTTGCTCTTCTTTCCGGGCACTGCTCCACTTGGGAATGTCCCTCCCATCGTCTCTTGTATTTTATTTCTCACCAAGCTCCTAACAACCTTTGCTGAGTTTCAATTTAAAGCTTTCGTGACTGCAGGGATTCATCTTCTTGGTTCTTTCGGTAAAGTCACGTAGAAGGGAAATAATAAAATAATAAAAATAAACCAATAAAATCATTCTCACGACGTTTCGGACGCTGTCTCATTCAGACTCTGTCTTCTCGACAGACCTGTTCTTCACCTGAGGACGGCTGCTTGCGTTGTGGCCGAAACGTCGTGAGAATTGTATTTAACAATGTTTTATTTTTATTATTTCCCTTCTACGTGACTTTACCGAAAGAACCAAGAAGATGAACCTCGCTGAGTTGAAACAACTTGCCAACCGTTACGTATTACAACCTTCACAGCGCTGTTTGTTGCTGCCCATTTGACATTTCGGGGGGGGGGGGTCTGTGGTCAGCACAGCGCGACTCAATAAAACCCATTCCTCAACAGGTCCCCGCAGTTGACATTGTGACCTCTCGCCAGTGACGACAGCCGGTAACCCGGGAGTCGCGAACAAGCGGTGGCTGATGAGATAACAACACCCAGCGTGTTGCAACCTGTCCCCGTGGGCCAATGCGTTTGTGTAAATACTAGCTGTGTACGTGTAGAGACGGACACGAGAGGGCACATTGTCTCATCTATTTGGTTATTTATATTCTGCACAATGACGCTCGTGGTTATTTTGTTTCTCGTGAGGCGAGTGATCGAACTACAGTCTCTCAGTGGCATTGGTGCGGCGGAGAAGGAAGAAAATAATCTTACAAATGTTTGAGTGCTTTAGAATGTAAATGCATTTTTCTTAATGCATCGTTATATCTCGATGCCTATCATTCAGCCACTAAGAATTCCCAAATATATAATTTATTATTTGTGAATGCTGCTGCTTTCGCAGTGGTGCACAAATAACAAAACACTCGAACCACATTCATCAATAGCCCTGCCTGTACTTCCCTGTATTAAGGCGTGTTATTGACAAATGCGTTGAGTTTAATATATCGCTGATAATCATCAGTCTTTTCCTTTTGAACCCAGACAAAAGCCATTTAGTATTGGAATACAATAATCAGCAAAACAGACGAGTCGTACTATTGGATGCATGCATCAATTTCTTTGTGCGTGCATCCTGTGTGCTTGGGCACACGGTTGCTTGTGTTGCGTGCATACCGCCTGGTGTGTGGTGCTTGTGATGTATCTGTGCTGCGTGTGCACTTGTGGTGTACCTCCTGCCTTCTTGTGCCGAGCAAATCCTACACACTAGCTGTGTGTGCGTGCTGTGTGTATATCCTGCACTAGCTGTGTGTGTGCGTGCTGTGTGTATTTGTCCTGCACTGGTCTGTGTGTGTGCTGTGTGTATATCCTGCGTGTGTGTGTGTGTGTGCTGTGTGTATATCCTGCGTGTGTGTGTGTGCTGTGTGTATATCCTGCACTCGCTGTGTGCGTGCTGTGTGTATATCCTGCACTAGCTGTGTGTGTGCGTGCTGTGTGTATTTATCCTGCAGTTGTGTGTGTGCTGTGTGTATATCCTGCACTTGTGTGTGTGTGTGCTGTGCTTGTTCCTCTGTTCTGCCTACATGTAGCGTGCCTCGTTCTTGTTAGCTTTGCGTTAATTATATATCTTTTTTCCGTTGACGTTCCGTGTGTTCTGTCTCTCTATGTCATACACCTTAGTTATTATTAGGAGCGTTCTGTTTATATGCCACGTACTGTTCAGTCACAATACACCCCGCCTGTTGTCTGTGTGTCACTCACCCCGCCTGCTGTGTGTGTGTCACTCACCCCGTCTGTGTGTCACTCACCCCGCCTGCTGTCTGTGTGTCACTCACCCCGCCTGTGTGTCACACACCCCGCCTGTTGTCTGTGTGTCACTCACCCCGTCTGTGTGTCACTCACCCCGCCTGCTGTCTGTGTGTCACACACCCCGCCTGTGTGTCACTCACCCCGCCTGTGTGTCACTCACCCCGCCTGCTGTCTGTGTGTCACACACCCTGCCTGTTGTCTGTGTGTCACTCACCCCGCCTGCTGTCTGTGTGTCACACACCCCGCCTGTGTGTCACACACCCCGCCTGTTGTCTGTGTGTCACTCACCCCGTCTGTGTGTCACTCACCCCGCCTGCTGTCTGTGTGTCACTCACCCCGTCTGTGTGTCACTCACCCCGCCTGCTGTCTGTGTGTCACTCACCCCGCCTGCTGTCTGTGTGTCACACACCCCGCCTGTGTGTCACTCACCCCGCCTGCTGTCTGTGTGTCACTCACCCCGCCTGCTGCGTGTGTCACTCACCCCGCCTGTTGTCTGTGTGTCACACACCCCGCCTGTGTGTCACTCACCCCGCCTGCTGTCTGTGTGTCACACACCCCGCCTGTGTGTCACTCACCCCGCCTGCTGTCTGTGTGTCACACACCCCGCCTGTGTGTCACTCACCCCGCCTGCTGTCTGTGTGTCACTCACCCCGCCTGTGTGTCACTCACCCCGCCTGCTGTCTGTGTGTCACACACCCCGCCTGTGTGTCACTCACCCCGCCTGCTGTCTGTGTGTCACTCACCCCGCCTGTGTGTCACTCACCCCGCCTGCTGTCTGTGTGTCACACACCCCGCCTGCTGTCTGTGTGTCACACACCCCACCTGCTGTGTGTGTCACACACCCCGCCTGTGTGTCACTCACCCCGCCTGCTGCCTGTGTCACTCACCCCGCCTGCTGTCTGTGTGTCACTCACCCCGCCTGCTGTCTGTGTGTCACTCACCCCGCCTGCTGTCTGTGTGTCACTCACCCCGCCTGCTGTCTGTGTGTCACTCACCCCGCCTGCTGTCTGTGTGTCACTCACCCCGCCTGCTGTCTGTGTGTCACTCACCCCGCCTGCTGTCTGTGTGTCACTCACCCCGCCTGCTGTCTGTGTGTCACTCACCCCGCCTGCTGTGTGTCACTCACCCCGCCTGCTGTCTGTGTGTCACTCACCCCGCCTGCTGTCTGTGTGTCACTCACCCCGCCTGCTGTCTGTGTGTCACTCACCCCGCCTGCTGTCTGTGTGTCACTCACCCCGCCTGCTGTCTGTGTGTCACTCACCCCGCCTGCTGTCTGTGTGTCACACACCCCGCCTGCTGTGTGTGTCACACCCCCCGCTCGCGTGCTGCCTCCTTGCGTATCAGCGCCAACACGTCCTGCCTGTAATCTCGCCTCTCCCCCCACCCCCCCCCCCCATGTCGCGCCTGCTGCAGGTGTCGCAGGCGTCCGCGGAGCTGCAGCAGTTCTGCGTGGAGCACGCCTGCAAGGACGCGCTGCTCATCGGCGTCCCTGGCGGCACGAATCCGTTCCGCGATCCCCGCTCCTGCTCGCTGCTGTAGCCCAGCGGACGCCCCTCCCCCGTCTCCTCCCCCCCCCCCCCCCCCCCGAGTCCTTTGCTCAGGACTCCGCTATCGGTCTCTCCCCTCCCTCGTCTCAAAAGAAAACACGGACCGAGCTTCCGAGTGCGAAATCCAACATTCGTGCTCGCAGTCGTTTTTCCTTTTTTTTGTATAATTCGGGCCGAGTTTTGACAGCGACGCGTGCCCGAGTCGCAATGATATTTTCTGGTGTTAATTGACGGCCGAACTGGTGGTGGGGGGGGGGGTCTCTATGGGGTACGGGCGGAGTGACGTGCGGGAGTAATTTCTCCAAGCGCTCGCTCGCTCGCTCACGCGGCGATGTCACGTCTTCTTGTTTTGTGCCCCCCTTGCCGTGGAGTGCACGCCCGCCCGTCGCGTGTTTGCCTGAAAACAAGTGTGTCACTCTCCGGCGCAGGTCTTCTCAAACGATCTTTAACCGAATGCATTCTTTCAAATTGAATAACAGCTTCGATATACAAGTTTTATCGTGGCCTTGTGCGGGTGCTAATTAGAGCGTTGTGCCTGATTATCGGCTTCATCGGGTGGATCGGTAGCCAAGTGGTGGGAACAGCACTTGGCCAACGATCCATCTGGTAACTCCTCCAGGCAGTTAGAACAAGCCCCTGTCCGTGAAGAACCCCGCAATGGCGTCTTGCACAATGCTAAGCCATCGTGCGCCAGTGTCGCTGACCCACCGCCATTTCCCGCCATCACCACTGTTGACTTCCTTCAGAGTGCTTTTCGTTTTTATCAACGCCAAAGGGAATGATCGGCAGCATTTTTCTACCCTGCGGGAACCTTCAAACCACATCCCCCTTCCCACTGTGAATTGAGCATTTTGACCACACCACCGTCAAGCCAAATGTTTGGAAATTATCCCTGACTAAATTGAAAATGACGTCTCCATTTTTTTATCTTTAATAGTTGCCTTGAAAAAGAGGTTTCGTCAGCGCCAGTGGTGTCTTAGTTGTGGTTAAATTAAGGACAATTTCTAAGCAAATAATTTATTGTGGAAATCTCGCTCCGATTCCCAGCTATCATAACTTGGTTAAATAATCAAAAGCCTGTCATACTAAACACACTTGTTTTCACGCTTATTTTATACACGTATATATATTCACGCAAATATACACACACACACACAGGCGCACTTACATTCCATCTGGGATGTTGCCCAGAGCAGTAGCGTATAAATGTAGCAATGAATCTGTGCAACATTCAGATTTAGATCGGTGTGAATCGAGATGATATGTAGTGTGCATAACCAGTTTACGTCTTACCAGTCTGCCTTCCGTAGACTTTCTATAACCCTGCCCTTGATGGCTCCTGCGATGGTTTTTCAACGCTTGGAAGTGACAAGGCCCTCTCGTTGTCATCCAAGGCGCAGCTCGGACGGCGTAGAGCATCTTATACTGTCGATGATCGCGTACAGTTTTTCATCCCCAGTGACTCGTGGACCGTGTTATGGGTGGTCGTTTTGCCTGTGTCGAGACCCCAATAGATACAAAACAAAATAGACATTCCACGTATTTGTGTTGAACGTGGGATGCCTGCGAAGCCTCTCCCTGCGGCCCCATGGAAGGCGTCTAAACGTGAATCTAAGCCTCGCGTTGATTGATCAATCGCTCATCCGACAGCCGTGAGGGCCTTGCGAGAGATTTGCGATCGTCGGCTCGACCCCTTACGCCCACGTCCTTCTTCACGGTCACCTGGGACCAACTTTGTGCCAAATGTAGCCTCCCCCCCCCTCGCCCCCCCGTGCAACTGCACTTAGGCCTTGTTTCCCACAGCACGTTGAGTCGTGTACCGTACCAGAGCTGTACAACAGTTAGAGGGCAAGCTCTTGTTGAAATAATACTAGTACTCCTGCTGCTGTGTGCCATGCCCCCTCTTGTACCCTGGACACCGTCGCGATGTCAGGGGCTTCAGCACTGCAGCGCGAGTAGCGATGTAACGCTTCACCTACAGAATCGATGAAACATTGAGATTCGCGGTCACAGTTTGGTTCGTTAGACAACGTGTGTCCGTGCAGTGCATGTTTCAATGGATGCGCGCGGTATGCACGGACGTGCAGCATTTTCCACGAAACCAATTACATACAACGTGTACGCGAATGAATAATGATAGATGCTTTCATGCACAATTTAGAGCACGCACTACGATTGTAGGAATCAACTTTGACAGGCGGATCGTTACATTCCTCGGCGATGTGCTCATGTCCGCGATGTCACGTTCCTGCACTCCCCATCATCGTCTACAACCCTGCCCAGTGAAGGTCCATGCCGTCCTGGGCTTGGATTCTGGGCCGTGGGGGTGTAGGAGGACGGGGTGAGTGGGTGGGAGGGTGGAGAGCGAGGGGAGCAGTGGAACAATGCGCGTGGATTGTCGTAGTAGCCGACTTGGCCCCGCTCGGCTCCGTTCTGGACCTGTACCGTTTGGCCAGTGCCGGACTAAGCTAGTGCAGGGACTGTGGCATATGCTATAAAGGGGTCCTAAATTTAAGAAAAATACCCATTAAAACAGGTTTTTATAGAGCAAGTGCAGAATCGCTGAACCCGAATTGATAGCTTGAAAGCATTTGGCGCGTAGCCCTTGAAAGTGCATGGCCTGTAGCATATGTAGCTACTTTTGCTCCTAGGATAATCCGGCACTGCGTTTGACCCTGATACAGCTGGTTGTGGAAACATGGGCCCTAATTCCTGGCGGTGCCTGATAGTATTGGATTGTACCACACAGTACTCTGCATTGCCCAACAGTATGATATGGTATCACATAGTACTAGATGGTGGTTCACCATCTTAGATGGTACATATAGTACCAGTGGACTGGTACCACGTTGTACTGAGTGGTACCTGATAATACTGAATTGGGTTTATCACGTAGTCCCGCATCATGATCGAATAGTATTGGATGGAACTGCGTAATATCAAGCAGTGTTTGTGTTAGATTATGCCGCTGGGTGTTAGATTGTGGTGATTGTATTGAATAATTGGTGCCACTGTACCACATAGTGCCGGATGGTGCCTAACAGTATTAGATGGTATCGCGTACTGCAGCACTTGCATGGAACCGCAGGGAATGTAACGATTCTCCCCGTCCCCGATTCAATGAATTGTCACGCACGTTTTGATGCATGCATCCTGAGCATAAGAACTAAGCCCTCGATGAATCGTTACATCCCCTGGTGGTTACCACACGGTGCGGACATCGTATATTGGTTGGTATCTTATCCTGTAAGAACGACACGATGCCTGATAGTATTGAATGGTAACCGCACGGTACCAGACGGTGCCTCACGGTATGGAGGAGTACCACCACGTCGTACCACAATGGTGCCTGTTGGGGAAAAAAATTGAGCGTTTACGCGACATTGCACCCATTCGTCGGCTCTTCGGAGCGACGAGTGGCGGCGGTTGATGCCAACAACGGCCGTTGCAGTTGTAGAGATCCCATTGGGTTGTGGATGTGTGCCGGGTGGGACTCGATGAGGGTGTAGGATTGTTGTCTTGAACCTCGGCGGCGTGTGCCGTCCACCTGCCTCGCAGGGAGATCATTCCCAGTTCATCTTCTACCTCCCCCCCCCATTTATCTAATTTTTGGTTGTGCCTTCTTTGTTTAAAATACTAATAATTGCATCTTACCTTAATTGCTATTTTATAGCCCAAGTGTGATATGTTAATTATATTAATAAGGGTGGCTGCAGGTTTGGTTTGGTTACATAGAGGAGTTTATTTAATTTTTGCGAGTGCTTTGCTAAAATCACATTTTTGTAACATGCGCAGCTCGGTGTGAATGCACGACGTTTTTAGCATTTGTCTTAACGATGCAAAATAGTTTTATTTTTTAATTGCATACGTCTTCACATTTCTTCAAGTACCACCGCTTTACGATTCTTAACCCCGTACGGCACCGGCCCGGGCTCGATAACGCAGCACTGGGACATCGCGACCGGCTCCTTCCCACCGTCCGCACACTGCGTGCCACCACGCAGCGCTCCGTAGCTCGTTGGGCCGCGACGCGGCGATCCGCACGGTGCCACGCGCCCGCTCCGTGCCACGCGCTCCCTCCGTGCCGCCACGACGCGAAGCCGCCTCGACACCCTACTGAGCCCGAGCGGGGAGCGAGCCCCCGACGCCGCGTGGAGCAGCTGCGTTTCCCGCGACGCGTCTTTCCCTTTTCCGGTTTTCTCGACGCACAGGAACCGCATTGTCTTCAGGCGGTTACTGTCCGAGTTGGTGGGGGGGGTTCACCACACTCCACAGACGGATTGATCTGGCGCGCCCCCCCAGGGCTTCGACGTTTGTAACGCGGCGGATCGATGGGATGGGCCCCGTGCGCTGCACCGGCGATGGCATCATTGACGCCTGTGCAGGTTGCGCACGGCCGCGTGCTCAGGTGATAAAAACATTATTCCTTCGCCCGAGAAAGCTCCTCTGCATCACAGTAGTTGTTTTCGGCAGGGTCCTGCCGCTGCATCCGTTGCCAAATTTGACGCCTTGCATTCTTGAGTATCGCATGAATCGATCCATGTGTGGTCTCGTCACAAACGCTTCCGTGACTTAATACGTGACTGGCACGCTCGTGTGCCCGCTATGTTTGGTAGATCTGCATATTCAACCATCTGCATTTGGTAAATCTGCATATTCAACCATCTGCGTTTGGTAAATTTACTCTGGTGCTGGGCTATAATTGCCCACTGGAAAATTAGCTGTTTGTAGCTCGGAATCTAAAGCTTGTACACAGTGGTAAATCGTTTTCCTAAACCTTTTTGTTATCCGTGGCAGTCGTGCTGGGACACAGACAAGTCACGTGCTGGGACACAGACAAGTCACGTTCTGCTGTTCTGGTCTATGCCAAGCCTCATTGCTCGGCTGTTGGGTTGTTCTCACTTGCAAGGTGACTAGCGCTGTGTTTCCAAGTTGGTTTCTCGCTAAATATAAGTGGTTAATTTGAGTAAGAAGAAATGCAAGGTTGTTATGGATAGACATTTTTTCCATACCTGTGTAAAAATTGTATCCTACTCAAGACCAAGAAAAATCTACGTTTTTGTCTTCAAAGTAATTATTAACTTATATAAAACCGAACGAGGAATCTTTTATTTTTTAATTGATTCACAAACGTGGAATCATTTCTCCTACTTGGAATTGGAAACTCGGCGAAACTATTGAAATTGCATCGTTAAGACGAAACCATCGCATCACGTGCGCTGCGCTTGCCAAGTCCGCTGGGATGTGATGGCATTTGGGCGTAGAAAGTCAAATTTATAATGCAGCGGTCGTTTGAATTGCTTACAGGATAATACGAATAATGAGGCACCTCCGCTGAATTTTAATACAGAATCCTTGCCCCTTTTTACTAACCGTCGACTGGCGGCTTTACATTAAGTAGTTCCTCCATCCTTGAGTCGCGGGATTTGTTAACGGTGTGCTAACTTAAAACTGAAACCTCATCGGGTCATTTTGTATCTACTGTATTAGAATTCCCGCGTGTACCGTGTACCCATTTCGTGCGGAGCCAGGGTAGGGCGAACGTGAGTCCTAGTAAATCGGAATGTACTTCGCATCTCGTTGAAATTCGAGCAATCCCAATTCCAGTATTTTGTGTATTTTTCTTTGGCGCATTTTTGTGTAAAGGAAAGAACACGCATGGTTAAGTGCACATTCGTTCGAGCAGCTCCATGAAACTATGGCTTAGCTATCCTGTTCGGGAGGTTTTTTTGAGAATCGTGAATGTGTGTGCGTGTTTGCTACTAGTACCCGTATTATTAATATGTCGTGAGATAATAAATACAAAACTAAACGACCCCTTGTCGTTAGTTTTTTTTTTGTCTAGCTTGCAACTAGTGGTGATCGATGCTAGTTGTTTTTTGGGGAAGGTGACGTAGTTTTATGTGCCAAAAATTACTGTGAGTAACCGTCACTCACCCCAAAATATGATCAAGTTTACACCGATATGGTGATACGTGGCCAACGTATCGATTAAATTCTGGCCGATCAAGTCTGCTCATCGACGGTGGCTTTGAGACTTGTCACGACTGCAGTTCAACCTCGACGTACAGCGATGTTTTTACTACGGCTGCTCTGAGCTTCATCTGGTAATGGACTCGGGAAACATTCCTGCGGAGGGAGCTGGTAGGAACGTTGGGTTGCTCGGTCAATGGCCAGGGTCAACGGCGGCGTGGTGTATCCCGCAAATATGCCCGACTGAGGGCGGGCACAAGCCGGCGTGAGTAGGTTAAACGTTGAGTTTTATAAGGGCACCACGGGGTGACCAGCCCCTCCCCACCCAGCCCCACACTCCACCCAGCCCCACCCTCCCCACCCAGCCCCTCCCCATCCAGCCCCACCCCACCCAGCCCCTCCATGCACGACGGACACAATAATCCCCTGTGGGCTGGTGTAACCAGGAGGTTCCTACCAGTATAAAGTTTGCTGCCTGACGAAGATCCATGCGGTTTGAGCGAACCGTCGTCCCACGTTGATGTTGAACTCGGGGGTGGGGGGGGTCACGAGACAACTTCTGAAGCCACCGCTGAGGAGGAGCTTTATCGATTTTGATCGATACGAAGACCACGTGGAAATAATATCTTACCTATGAACGTGAAAATCTTTTCGGCTGGCGGAGGGTTAATGGCAATAATTTTTGTCGTAAAACTACCGCGTGGCACCAACCCAAAAACAAATATTGATTGTTGTATTGGCTACGGCAATGCACGTTTTAAGTGTACTACTGTTATAGAGCATAACACAGTTTCGAATGTATAACAGGGGAGGTTCGTTTATTTCTCGTCATCAAAGTTAAACCATAGCACTTGAAGACTTGCGGTTCAACTATCCCACTGCCTCTTGGTGGGTGCAATGAGTGCCACTCTAGGAAGTGGAGTGGTCATCCTTTGTGGAGTGCGGCTTGTTCATGGCAGGTCTAATTCAGCAAATAGAGCACCGGCTTTACAATTAGGAATGAGTGTCGATCCCAGCCAGGGTATATCATCGTTCATGATCCTCACAATCATCAGTCGCCAACAATATCGTCATCCCAAGTGATGCTGCGTCGTTTAGTAAACCTAACGTTGGTGTCCTCGCCATTCGAATGTTGTCATTTTCACAAATGGGATAAGCGCCAATGAGAAATAAGCGCCACCAAGCATTTGTTCAAACACTAACACGCACCATTACGAAGTTTGAAAGCTTAAAAACAAACTTGAACATTCTTATATATTAGCACTTTTTTATTGTTTTGCTTTAAAAACGTACAAAAACATACAATCAATAATAATACTTTATTTGACAGGCGCATTGCGTTGGCACGTGAGCCAGAGTGTACATCCATCGTGGAGACGGAGCGAAGAGCTCAGCCCGTGTGCCAGTGCAGGGCGCATTGAAACATCCCAGAATCGTGAGAGTGGTGGTGGTTTGGGCAGTCATTTCATCCAGCAGTGGATGATGATCAAACCAGCAACTGACATGTGGGGTTGTGGTTAGAACACTTCACTGAGGATGGTTGCGTGTTCAAATCTCGGCTCATAACCTCCCGTGGCATGTAAAAATGAACACTTCTTTGTGGATTGTTAACCAGCAGTGGTTGTAATTTGTAGAGACTGGCCCTGGCCATGGGAATGTGGAATTTAACTGGCCCGGAGTGCTGCCCCACTGAAGAGGGAAACACTTTGACGGTCGCGTCAGCTGACATTAGAAATGAGCGAAGTGACTCAAAACTTACCAAACTCACCTGCCATTAGGTGAGCAGTGGACAAAACGGCAACACACAGAAGCAAGCCAATGGGATTCACAGTCGAGTACCGTTAAGCGCTATCAATCGGAGAAGAATACCGAGTACCCGTGCAGACATTTCACAATAAAAACAATTACAACGTAGGGGTTAAAAAAGAAAGAAAGCGAACTACATCTCTTTAGGTACAAAAATAACACGAGTAAAATCACACAATTCTGACATGTGGAATACCACGCGGCAAACGCTGTTACACGTTGCCGGCTCGAACACGGCTCACGATCTCCACCCTTCGTAACGTACCCGAGGATCATTTGGACAATGGGGGTTACTTTTTTACAATGACGAAAAAAACTAAATAAACAACTCGCATATCCGTGGGACACCTATCCCCCCTCCCCCCCAGTATCAAAACATGAAAAAAAGTGTTTACCCTTTCTGGCAATGAAACAGGATGTTCAAACACAAAATAGGCACCTACCAAGGCAACAAGTCTGCATTAACCACATGTACAGTGAGGGAAAAAAGTATTTGATCCCCTGCTGATTTTGTACGTTTGCCCACTGACAAAGAAATGATCAGTCTATAATTTAAATGGTAGGTTTATTTGAACAGTGAGAGACAGAATAACAACAACAAAATCCAGAAAAACGCATGTCAAAAATGTTATAAATTGATTTGCAATTTAATGAGGGAAATAAGTATTTGACCCCCTCTCAATCAGAAAGATTTCTGGCTCCCAGGTGTCTTTTATACAGGTAACGAGCTGAGATTAGGAGCACACTCTTAGTGCTCATTTCCCTCATTGAAATGCAAATCAATTTATAACATTTTTGATATGCGTTTTTCTGGATTTCGTTGTTGTTATTCTGTCTCTCACTATTCAAATAAACCTACCATTCAAATTATAGACTGATCATTTCTTTGTCAGTGGGCAAACGTACAACATCAGCAGGGGATCAAATACTTTTTTCCCTCGCTGTACTTGTTGCAAAACATGCATACAAAAACACACGCTCTGATAACAATGCACATGCATTGTGTTTGACACTGATTTGGCCTACAGCAGTGACAGTCGTCTGTGTGGCGTTGTCTCACTAGTGTTGGACCAGAGAAACGCAAAAGGCGAATAGCACAGAGGCATGTCGACTTGCCAAGGGTGTCTCTACCAGGCGTTTGAACATCTTGACACATGTTGTATTGTCAGAAAGAGTAAAACCGATGCTTATTCTTTTTCATCAAATACAACTCCGTTAAATACAACTGTCATGTTTCAAGTCTCGCCTCGGATACTTGACCGACACCAACTCGAAAAAACACCCCCCACTTTTGACCAACGTGCAAACACACACACCGCACACCGTACCTTCTTACCACGCCTCTCTACACACAGAACACACACACACCCTACCACGACTCACTACACACACCCTACCACGACTCACTACACACACACACCCTACCACGACTCACTACACACACACACCCTACCACGACTCACTACACACACACCTTACCATGCCTCAATACGTAAAGAACACACACACACTCCGTACCTCGCCACACTACACACAGCACACACACACACCACGACTCACTACACACAGCACACACACACACCCTACCACGTACCTCGCCTTACTCTGCTCTCGCCTTGCACTGAAGCTCACGGCAGAGCTCTACGCACCAGCGTCACTCAAAATCTGCTTCGGACATCAAAGGTCTCGAACTTTTCAGGCCTCATGTCACTATACACTACACTATACACTACACTATACACTACACTATACACTACTACACTACACTATACACTACACTATACACTACACTACACTATACACTACACTATACACTACACTACTATACACTATACACTACACTATACACTACACTATACACTACTACACTACACTATACACTACACTACTATACACTACACTACACATTACACTATACACTACACTACTATACACTACACTATACACTACTATACACTACACTACTATACACTACACTATATGCTACACTATACACTACTATACGCTACTATACACTACTATACACTATACACTACACTATACACTACTATACACTACTACACTACACTACTATAACTACACTACTATACACTACACTACTATACACTACACTACTATAACTACACTACTATACACTACACTACTACACTATACACTACTATACACTACTACACTACACACTACACTATACACTACACTATACACTACTATACACTAGACTACTATAACTACACTACTATACACTACACTACTATACACTACACTATACACTACACTATACACTACACTACTATACACTACACTATACACTACTATACACTACACTCTACACTACACTATACACTACACTATACACGACACTACACTATACACTACACTATACACTACACTATACGCTACACTATACACTACACTATACACTACACTACTACACTGCACACTACACTATACACTACACTATACACTACACTACACTCTACACTACACTATACACTACACTGTTACAGCCTCCTGTCGGTTCTCTGCTGTCGCCCCATCGGTGTGGAGCCCTCTCCACTCTATCATCCCTTTCAACATCCGCAACATCATCAAACGCACTCCGACAACGACGTTCAAGAAACACCTCAAGGCCTCTCTCTGCCCGCCTGCCTGGGCCAGGGCTTCCGAGCAGCCCCGAGATTTGGCTCCGCGTCTCCGAGTTGCCGATTTGCCTGCAACATTTGGCGACCTGTAAATATCCTCATCATTACAGGGCGCTTCCAAAAAAATGTTCACACTTCTGAGAAATTGCAACAAGAACACCGCGAGAAATTTGAGGCTGAGTCGACCTAGAGAGAGGCCCAGGGACCGGTTCAAAATAATCGTCACCGGTGTTGGCCGTGAGCGTGAATCGAACCCGTGTGGCCGGGCGCGCTAACCGCTGCACCACCGTTCCCCACGCACGCGCGCGTTGACAGCGGCTTCTCAGGGCTCAGGGCTCCCCACTTCGCTGCCCCATAACGTTTCCCGTGAGCTTGACGATGGGGGCTGTCGCTG